CTGTCTAATGGCGCATTTCCACTACACGGTCGGCCTCGGCCACACTCGGTACGGCTCGGTACGGCTTGGCCGCGTTGGGCCTTAACAGGGCCGACTCACTTCATGCTGCGCTTCCATTACAGTTTAGGAACTGGGGTAGTTACTATAGTAACGCAGTGTAGGCGGAGCCGTGACGTCATCTTCAATGAGAAATCCAGAAACACAACACAGCCGTTAGCTGTGAGCACTCAGAGCTCACAGCTCCTTATATATGTTCAGAAACTCGACAAAAGTTAAACAAGTACACACCACAGACTGCCTGTGTCATGGTGAATACAGTCGCTGCTGTATTTATGTCTGTATAGGCCGTTGTTGTGAGTGTGGACGGTCGGGGCATATACTGCGTTAGCTTAGCCAATCTCCATCTAGAAAAACACGAATTTTAAAAGGTTTTTCGCCTGCCGTCTGTCTGCAGACTTGACAAAGCATTAATTCATGGTTTTTACTAACCGGTATCAGTATGTTGTTACTTCGGCATCATTTTGAAACGTGTATTACAATTAAATCACGGTCAAATATGTCCATCTTGTTGTAGTTCTAGCCCTCTTGCCAGCGCTCCTCTCTCTAGTTTAGCATACTCAGCCCGACTCAGCCCTGTTTGTTGGCCCCGATAGAACCACAATTTTCTAGGGCCAGAAAAGAGGGGAAAAAGTGGCCCCGCGCCGTGCCGCGCCGGAACGAGGCCTAGTGGAAGCACAACCAAAAAAGGGGACGGCACGACACGGCACGCTTAAAGCGAGCTACGCGCTGCAATGGAAATGCGCCATAAATGACTCCTCATCTCTCTCATCTGGAAGCTCCGTCAATACGAAGAAGAAGGGAGCAACTAAGGAAAAGAAAGGAAACTTTGGAGCTGCAATCCCAGTTAGAAGCTACTGATGCTAAAATCTCTGTATTCAACATTTTGGAAACTCAAGGCAAACAGCCAACAATGGATGGAATGAACGAATATTATGAACAAAGAAAAAAAAAGGATGTAATCTCTGCAAAGGAAGAGGAGTACACAAAGGATAAAAGAGTGCATATACAAGGTGTGCGACCAAAGGAAGGACTCCAGTATAGATACTCACTGCACCATCCTGCTCCAGAGAAGTCAAAGGCATCACAAAACCCCACTTTGAAACCAACACAATCACATGGAAAAGGTGAGCCAACAACTCAAGAAAACTCCATAAGAGACACAACTCTGTACAGCATATTACAAAAACAGAATGACATTACTGCTTCTCTAGTTCTGCAACAACACCATTCCTTGTTACCCCAAAAGGACATCAAGGTCTTTGAAGGAGATCCAGTTGAGTACCGATCCTTTCTAAGGGCCTTTGAGCATGCCATTGAAGCTAAAGGCCCTGACACACCAGGCAGTCACCAGAGAACTCGCCGACACCGACAGTTCCATCGCCGAGTTCTCCTGCATCTTGGCCATGTGTCGCACTGGAACACACCGCAAAGACTTCAGCCGAGCACGTACGAACTGCGCATGCGTGAGTGGCAATAACTCTCCTTACCAGCAGGCGGCGGTAGTGTGTATTCGTCATTCAAAATAGGCAACAACCGGAAGACAGAGAAGAAGAACAGACTGATATAAACAAACAAATAGCGTGTGCGTTCCATTTTCACTCTCGTCCATCGAAAACATGTTTTAGAATATAAAAATACATGAATGATGAAATGAGCACATAAAGTGCAGACATACTATAAAATCACAGTTAATAGACCTGCATCTGATGATCGCAGTGTTCTGGCGGGTGTGTAGTTTATTGAGTCAGCAATGTAGTAATGTAATAATGGCCACTTCTTGCTAAATTTACATTTCCATGTGATGCTTTTATCCGAGGCGACTCACAATAGGTAAATGAACAGCAGTAGACAGTATCTCATTTACTTAGACACTGTACTTAAGGACAATGTTGAGGTACTTGAGACTAATCCTGCAACTTTATACTGACAAATAAACCGATGAGATGAAAAACCGGACTTGACCAAACAAATCACGGAGCTCTCAGCAGAGGACAGCCGGGGAAGCTCCCGCCGATATCAGAGATGTCCCTGCTATGTGTGGGAGGTAAGAGAGGACATTTAAGGGCTATGTTTGATGTCTTTAAGTATCACCTGCTGGGGTTTAGCTGCTGTCCTGTGCCTTTTTAAATCGTTTGTTTACGTCCCTCACTTCCGTTTTGCTTCTCATTTGCTAGCTGAACAGCTGATCAGAGTGGTTTCTTGGCCCGATAGCTTGTGTCCGTATTTTGGCCGATTCAACATGTTGAATCGGCCGTGTGTCGACCGTGAAAGGCCAAATAAGGCGTGTCACGGCCGAGGGTTCGGGACACACCAAATTGACTTTGGGCGACAAGGAACGCGTCGTCGCCAGACAACCGAAGACGGCCGAATACGGCCTGGTGTGTCAGGGCCTTAAGACTGTCTGTGGTAAAGACCGGCTGTACTATTTGGAACAGTACACCAGGGGGCAGTGTCGTGAACTGGTCAGAACCTGCCTATACATGGATCCAGAAAGGGGATACCAAAAGGCTAAAGAACTTCTTCAAGAACATTATGGCAATGAGTTTAAAATTGCTAATGCATACATTGAAAAAGCCCTGTCATGGTCTCAAATTTAAACATGAGGACCCCAAGGCTTTACAGGCCTTTGCATTGTACTTAAGAGGATGCTGTAATGCAATGGAGGAAATCACCTACATGGAGGAATTGGATCTTTCTACAAATCTTAAATCCTTGCTTACAAAGTTACCATACAAACTCAGAGAGAGGTGGCGATCAGAAGTCTACAGGCTAATGGAAAGGCGGCACAGCAAGGTCAAATTCAGCGACCTTGTCAAGTTCATTGAGCATCATGTCAAAATATTAACAGACCCTGTCTTTGGCTGTATACAGGACCAAACTGTCAACACAGCAAAGCTGGGCTTCAAAGCAAGTATTAACAAGAGGCCAAAATCCACTAGCAGCAGCTTTGCCACTAACAAACATTGACTGCCAGTCCACATCTCCCCAGCCTCACAGCAGCACCTCCCAAGCTTCCTGTTTGTACTGTTCAGGTGGACATACAATGGATGCATGTTTCTCACTCAAAAAGAAAATGCACAAAGAAAAGATAAGCTTCATAAAGGAAAGAGGAATCTGCTTTGGTTGTCTTGTACCAGGTCACATGAGCAAAAACTGCAATAACCGCTTAACGTGTAAAGTGTGCAACCAATCTCACCCTACTGTGCTCCATATAGGAAAAGAAAAGGAAAGGAAATTGGAAAGAGGTGAAAGGTCTGAAACCTCAAGGACCGGAGAGAAGGCTATTCTAAAAGCATGTGGGCATATTGGGGCCGATGAAGTGGAAGAGGAGTGTGTGTTATCTATTGTGACTGTTAAAGTAAAATCTAACAAAGGAAATCAAATTATTCAAACGTATGCATTCCTTGACCCTGGAAGTACAGCTTCATTCTGCACAAGCAAGCTCATGAACCAGCTCAACATGTCGGGAAAGAAAACAAACATCCTTCTTCGCACCATGGGCCAAGAAAAGACTGTGAGCAGTCATATCATCACAGGACTGGAAGTGAGTGAGCTACATGGCAACAGGTTCATCCCTCTCCCAGAAATCTACACCCAGAAAATCATGCCTGTCACCAGACATTACATTCCCAATCAAAAGGATCTATCAAAGTGGCCATACCTCAGTCAAATCAAACTCCCTACCATTGATGCCGAAATCGGCATGTTGATTGGTACCAATGCACCCAAAGTTATGGAACCGCTAGAAATGATTAATAGCCAAGGAGAAGGCCCATACGCATGCAGGACTTTACTGGGATGGGTGGTCAATGGCCCGCTGAGAGGAGGAATCGCAAAGGACAGCAATTCCATCTCCGTGAACAGAATTTCTTTGGTAAATTTACAGGAGTTACTGATCACACAATACAACACAGACTTCTGTGAAAAGGCCTAACGGGACACAAAAGAAATGTCAGCAGAGGACAAGCAATTTATGCAAATAGCAAAAGACTCATCAAACATTGTGGATGGACACTACAGTCTAAGATTACCTTTCAGGAGGAATGATGTCTCAATGCCAGATAATCGCCACGTTGCTGAGCAACGTCTCTCCAGCCTGCAAAGAAAGCTTTGTAGGAATGCATAATTTCATGAGGAATATACCAGATTTCTCAGTGATGTAATTGACAAAGGTTATGCTGAAGAAGTGCCACAGGGGCAGCTGAAGCAAAAGGAGGGTAAAATCTGGTATATACCTCATCATGGGGTCTACCACCCCAAGAAAATAAAACTCAAAGTGGTCTTTGACTGTGGAGCATCATTCAAAGGCACATTCTTAAACTCAGAACTGGTGCAGGGTCCTGATCTCACTAACAGCCTTTTAGGAGTACTAACCAGATTCCGCCAGGAGCCAATAGGAATGATGGGGGACATCCAAGCTATGTTTCACCAAGTCAAAGTGCCCGAAAAAGATACAGACTTTTTAAGATTTTTGTGGTGGCCTGGTGGGGACACAAGCCTTCCCCCTTCTGAGTACCGCATGACTGTGCATCTCTTTGGCGCTGTGTCATCACCCAGCTGCACTAGCTACGCATTAAAAAGAACAGAAATGGATAATAGGGAGTACTTCAGACCTGAAGTGATTGACACAATACTGAAAAACATCTATGTGGATGACTGCCTAAAGTCTGTTGCTACAGAGGAAGAAGCTATCCTGCTGGCCAAAGAGCTCACAGCTGCATGTCAGAGGGGAGGTTTCCACTTAATAATAGATTTATTTTGTTAGCGCTTTTACAGGTGCTCAAAGACGCTTTACAGATATAGTGAAAAGAAAAGAACAACAAATAAATATATATAGTTAAAGTTAAAGTCAAATAATACAAAAACAATCACACATTAAAAGCCAGATTGAAGAGGTGAGCTTTTGTGAGTTTTTTTGAAGGTGGTGAGGTCAGGGCAGTCTCTGATGGGTTGTGGGAGTGAGTTCCAGAGGGAGGGGGCAGCGACGGAGAAGGCTCTGTCCCCCACTTCTCTAATCTCTTGAACATGCCGGAGTATGATTTCTCCATGGTCTTCAGGACCTGCTCCTTTTCGTTAAAAACTGCAGTGAGCTTCGTCTGGGCCACAGTGAGCTTCGTCTGGGCCACAGTGAGCTTCGCAATAATTTATTCAGTAGAACATAAAAACTTTACTAAGAAAACTAAAATCAGAGCTGTCTAAAATATAATCTCAGTAAAAAGATAGTCTAAAACTATTTTAAAATACAATTAAACGCAGTTAAAACAATACAAAGAATTCAAATGTTAAAAGGGTTAAAAGTCTTTTCGAGCTTCGTCTGGGCCACAGTGAGCTTCCTCTGGGCCACAGTGAGCTTCCTCTGGGCCACAGTGAGCTTCGCAATAATTTATTCAGTAGAACATAAAAACATACTACACTGTAAACATTTTACCTCCCAACAACTCCTAACACAGCATAATCACAATTGTTTCTGACTGTTCAGCAGCTTGATTGACAGTGGAACAAAGGAAAACTTATACCTGTTCAATTTCCAGTTTGGTAATCTATACCTTCTGCCCGAGGGCAGCAACTCAAACTCTCTATACAGGATGTGTTTGGGGTCGCATGTGATTTTACGGCCTTGTTTTATCACCATCTCCTCAAATATCTCCCGAAGAGAGGATGGTGGAAGCATGCCAATTATTTTTCCAGCCCTTTTTATCAAGCTCTGGAGTTGTGATTTAGATTTAACTGACAAGTTACCAAACCATGTTGTGATGCCATATCGAATAATAGACTCAATTGCTGCCCTGTAGAACATTAACATGATACATTTATCCACTCCATGAACCCTGAGCCTACGCAGAAAATGCAGGCGCTGGCTTATCTTTGAGCATACCTGATCCACCTGATGGGCCCAGCCTAACTGAGCATCAAAATAAATCCCCAAATATTTAAAACGTGAAACCTGCTCAACTCCCTCCCTGTTGATAAGGACTGGGCTGTGATCACCTACTGACTTGGGGTCAAAGATAATTTCCTTTGTTTTTTAACATTTAACACCAGGTTGTGCGCCTCACACCACTTCACGACCTCTTCAATCTCAAGTTTATAAATAGAAATGTCTGAGTCTCTAGTCAGTAGACTAAGTATGGCTGTGTCATCAGAAAACTTTATAATGTGGTTGTGCTGACTCCTACACTCATTTGAGGAGAAGAGGAGAGCTAACGCAGCCTTGTGGTGCCCCTGTGCTTATGACCTGTGCGTCAGAGAGGGTCGAGTTCACTTTCACCTGCTGCTGTCTTTCAGTTAGGAAGGAGTGATACCATCTGATTAAGTAAGGATTCACATCCATCTGTTTGAGCTTTTTTAACATAATTTGGGGAAGAATAGTATTAAAAGCTGAGCTAAAGTCCATGAACATTAATCTAGCATAAGCTGAAGGATTTTCCAGGTGTTTTAAAATAAAGTGAGTTGTAGAGGTCAGAGCATCATCTGTACCTCTACCATCGCTATACGCAAACTGGTAGGGGTCCAAGAGGTGTTGCACCTCAGTTCGCAAGTTCCCTACAATAATCCGTTCTAGTGACTTTATAACTATTGAGGTCAAAGCCACTGGTCTGAAGTCGTTGTTGTCATGTGGGCATGTTTTTTTTGCAACTGGTATGATGACAGCTTTCTTCCATATTTGAGGGATACTTCCCATGTCAGCAGAGAGCTGGAATAATGGACTCCAAGCAGGAGTGAGCTCATCTGCAAACGTGTTCAGCAGGAGTGCCGAAATACCGTCTGGCCCACTGGCCTTCTTAGTATGCAGTTGTTTGAAAACCCTGGCCACAGCACTATCAATTATTATTCTTCTATTGTGTATTGGGTCGCAGGTTAAAGAGGTTGACAAGTTATTACATGCATCAATGTTAGAAGCAGAATTAATATCAAAACGTTTGTAGAAGTTAAGTTAATTTGCTTTGTTAAGCTCATCCAGAACATGCATCTCCCTCTTGCCGGAGTTCAGATTTGTAATTTCTTTAACAGAGTCCCACAGTTCTTTCGAGTTCTTGGTTGAGAAAGCCTCTCGGGCACTCAGACTATGTTGCTCTCGGGCTTCTTTAAGTTTCCCCTTTAGTTCTCTTTGAGCTGATCTCAGTTGTATTGCATCGTTATTTTGAAAAGCGATATTTCTTCGTCGGTGTCTCGGGGGCACGTCCGCGTGATTTTGTGGTGTTGCCTGCGTGCAGGTCGCTCCATAACTCCGCCGGGTTCCAGTGCGTAATTACCCGCCGCAAGCCACATGAAGACTAGGTGAGATTAGTAAGATTTTGGTTAGGCAGTGAGGGGGAAATTCTCTGTTGGGTTTGTCTTTTGTCCATGCGTGTTGGCAGGTTAATACTTTGCTTTCTGATTGGTTATAGGTAGTATATTATGGCTTCTTTGTCGGCGTTTGTGGATGCGCCCTCAGTGTCTTTCTTAGACGATTGCAAGAAGGCGCAGTTGGTCGAAATAGCAGAGCATTATGAAATTGCTGTTGTAGGGAGCAAACGGAAACATGAGATTAAAGCTGTCATGTCATCTTTGTTTGAGCAGGGAGTGTTGTTGAACGGGTGGTCTCACTGCCTGATCTCCCTTAGTCTGTGTCAAAGGAGGAGGAAGACGAGGAGACTCTTCCTCACTCAGAGATCCAGCAGGGAGATCAGTTCACCTTCAGCAGCATTGAAAGAGAAGAATACGACAAACTGTTTGACTTTGTAAATGCCAAGAAGCTCAACATCAAGAGCAGAGGCTTCAAAGAGGGCATGAAGGGTAAGATCGACGAGTACAGCGACTTGGACGAAGACCAGCACAATGCCTACCTGGAGGAGAAGAAGAAGGGGAAGAAAGAGAGGAAACCCCGCAAAGAGAGGAAGAGGAGGCCGAAGGAGGTTGGCGCGCCCAAGAGGCCGATGAGCGCCTACATGCTGTGGCTCAACGTCAGCCGAGAGAGAATCAGGGCTGAGAACCCCGGCATCTCCATCACAGAGATCTCCAAGAAGGCCGGAGAGATGTGGAGGACGCTGAGCAAAGAGGACAAGGGGGAGTGGGACATAAAGGCAGTGGAGTTAAGAAGGAGGATGTTGGTTGGTCGTGGACCCCTTTGGGGCCCCGTCTTAAGGGGGGGGGGGCTGTGATGCCCCTGTGGGTCCATCAGTGGAGAGGGTGTGGCTGTCCTGTCTGTACTGCATTGATTGCACTGATTGCAGGGATGAGAAAATACCTGAGAAGTTTTCTAAGCAGTCGAAGCTAGATCTTCAGAAGATTACTGACTTCAAGGTTAAAAGGTGCATCAAGCCCAATTACTTTGGCCAACAGGTCCAAGCACAACTACACCATTTCTCGGATGCAAGTGAGCAGTGAGCTACTTGAGATTGGTGATACTGTGAAACTGTGATGATTTAGAGGTCAAAAGAAATGCTATTGTCAACACAGTTATGGTCACAGAAAATCCTACAGGCAAGCTACTCATGCATTTCTCCAGCTGGAGAAAACTACAAGTTGCAGTAGCATGGATCCTGAAGTTCAAAGAAAGCTTGAAACAGCTCGTTCAAAGGAGAAAATAGCTTATTTCCACTTTAAATGACTCCAACACCGATGCTCAAAACAAAAGCAATGTTGAGCAGAAAATAGAAAACATGAAGGCCACACTGGGTGGACAGACCATTACTCTGGAAGATCTTGAGAAGGCAGAAAACTCCATCATATGCCAAACCCAAAGACAGTATTTTCCAGAGGAAATGACAGCACTGCAAACAACACAACGTGGTGTCAAAAGGTCAAGCAGTCTCTACAAGCTTGATCCAGTGTTAAAGGATGGAGTGCTAAGAGTGGGAGGACGCCTGAGGAGGGCAGCTATGCCAGAAGAAACTAAGTTCCCTGTCATACTGCCAAAAAACTGTCATGTGTCAACTCTCATATTAAGGCACATGCATGAAAGAACTGGACATGGAGGAAGAAACCACATCCTCTCTGAAGTTAGGAAGATGTATTGGATAATCAAAGCCAACTCTGCTGTAAGAAAAATATTGGGAGATTGTGTTTTGTGCAAACGACAAAGCCAAAATTGGAGAGCAGAAGATGGCTGACTTGCCACAGGAAAGGCTTGAGCCAGACATGCCTCCATTTACCAATGTTGGTGTGGACTACTTTGGCCCTATTCAAGTCAAAAGAGGACGTACCACATTGAAGAGGTACGGAGTGCTGTTCACGTGCATGACAAGCAGAGCTGTGCATATTGAGGTCGCCAACTCACTTGATACAGACTCATGTATCGACGCTTTGAGAAGATTCATATGCAGAAGAGGTCAAGTGAAACATACAAGATCTGACAATGGGACCAATTTTGTTGGAGCTCTGATGCCCCTTTCACACCAACGCAACTCCGGTTCAAGCTCCGTGCTAGAGCTTTTCTGGTTCAGAACCGGTTCTTCGGTTTAGCGCCGGCTCTTTTCACACCGCTCAGAGCCCGACTGGTGCTGCCGCTGCTGCGTCATGACGTCACAGTTTACGTCGCTGAGTTTCTCCCCAACGCCGGAGCTCACCTCACAACAACAACGGGCCGGGGACTGCGTTGCTTTTAATCATACGAAGCCAGATTAAATTAAATAACGACTTCTCCAACCTTATACTTTTCTCCAGAGTGCCGTGGTTCATTGTTTATTAATGTGTTTCAGCGGCATTTACCGACCGCTGCAGTGCTGGCCGGCTGCTCTTCCACGAGTGTATTCTCCCGTTAGCTCCGGGTTAGCTCACACGGCTCTAAAGTATTCACTGTCTGACTGTCACACAAGCAGCTGATACATATCCCCAGTTCCCCTTAAGTGAATGTGTGTCAGTCTGAATTGTCGCTGTTTGGTGTCAGTCTGAATTGACGCTGTTTGGCATCACAACGCTGTTATGAAAGTTTCTCTGGTATAACATGGGTGATGTTAGCATAGCAACCGAAGCTAAACTGACTACTTGCTAAGCAGTTTTCTACAGGCACTTTTTACCGACGTATTTTTCATTATGATTCTACTTGTGATAGTCGGACATGACAACCTGTGCAGCCCATGTATTGATTCCATCCGATAGCTGCTATAATAACAAACAAAACGTCTGCCTGCTCTCCACAATGATCAATAACAGCGAACGGATGGTCAAAGTAAGGTACAAATAAACAGAATCACACGAAGCCTGGTTAGTGTTGCCTGACTTTATAAAGTGTGTTTTTTTTAACAAGTGTGTGGTTGCGTTCTAGTCACTTTGCTCAGCACTACTGCTTGTTACAACTTTTATTTGCCGTACTCGCCTTAAGTGTTAGCTCAGGTTAATCTCGCCCCCCTCCGACGTAAGCGTGACGTATGCGGTTCTTGCTTCTAGACGGACAACTTTTTGGTGCTCGAAACGAACCGGATTCCGGAGCTATGACGCTGCTCCGCTGCGGTGTGAACAGGAAAACCCGGTGCTTTTCAAGCACCAGCACCGAACCGGCCCTGAAACACCGTTGGTGTGAAAGGGGTAAGAGAGAGTTAAAGGAAGCCCTCTCCATTCTGAACCAGCACAGAATTCAGGAAGCTCTGCTGCAAAAGGGCATAAAGTGGAGTTTCAACCCCCCAGGAGCATCCCACCATGGAGGAGTATGGGAGCGTCTGATAAAGTCTGTGAGGCAGGTTCTCTATTCTGTTTTGAAGCAGCAGACTTTGGATGAAGAAGGGCTACAAACAGTTTTATGTGAGGTAGAGGCAATTTTGAACAGTCGACCAATCACAACAGTCTCAAATGACCCTCAAGACCTGGATCCTCTAACCCCAAATCACATCTTGCTCTTAAAAACCAAGCCAATTCTGCCCCCTGGAGTTTTTGACAAGAAGGACCTGTACGTAAGACGCCGATGGAAACAGGTGCAATACATGGCAGACCTATTTTGGAAACGCTGGTGCCGGGAATACTTACCCCTCATGCAAGAAAGACAGAAATGGTGCAAGGAGAAGAGAAGCTTTAAACCTGGAGATGTAGTAATGGTAGTTGACCCTACTGCTTCCCGTAGCTCTTGGATCCTGGGAAGAGTGCTAGAAGCTATGGCAGACACTAAAGGACTGGTTCGAGCTGTCAAAGTAAAAACACAGACCAGTGTGCTGGAGAGGCCAATTACCAAGATCTGTCTGCTGTTAGAATGTGAAGAGTGACGGCAGCAAAAAGTCTTCTTCCGCTGATGGCACGATGGTATCATGTAGACGGGATGAGTAACACCACACAACTCATATTGATAGATGACTGGATTCATGAAATGAATAGAAATCCTGACTATAGGCTCCTTTTCTTTGAAATGTATATTTGATAATTGTTTTTGTGGTACTCCAAAATACAATTAGAGGCCGGTTATGTAGGAGCCATTTCCTTAGATTATATTATCTTATCTTTTTACAGTACATAACCTGAGATTCTGTGGTGTATATTATTTATTATTTAATTTGAGTGGGTTACTCTGCAGGTCGAGATGCTGCAGCATAAAAGGAGAGGTGCTGCAGCCTACTGGTGTGGCTGACTGAAGCAAACAGTTTTTAGACCTTGCTGGTTGGGAGCGTCACAGCTTGGTTCTTGTGCCTTTAACATTGAAATAGCAGTTTATATGGCAAATAGTTTGTTTAAAAATGTTTATTTATTTTTGCCTTTTTTGGAATAAACTATCTTACTTTTCAATCGCATCTGGACATTTATATTTTTTCTCTCAAACTACAAGCGTCTATTCGTCAGTCAGCCCCACGAGTGAATCACAAACAAAGGACAAAAAACAAATAGATATCGTGGTCACTACACAAGTGTTACGGTGTCTTTTTAAGCATCTTTTTTTCAACAGCTGCACTTCGGTGTCAGCTGTCGTTGTCTTCAAACTTTCAGACACATTTTTGGCCTCTGTTTTGTTTTTTCATTACATTACATTTTATTTAGCTGACGCTTTTATCCAAAGCGACTTACAATAAGTGCATTCGACCAAGAAGATACAAACTTGAAGAAAACAGAATCATATAAGTACATCAGGTTTCATAGAGCTAACACATTTCAAGTGCTACTCAACTGGCTTTAGATTTTGTGTGTGTGTGTGTGTGGTGAGATCATCAATTGTATATGTTCAGAGGCCTAGTGTGGAGGATAACATAAGGTCTTGAGGCAATTGGATGAAAAACACAATATTTATGATAAAAAAACAACGTCACTCGGTCACTTTTGACCCGAAACGCAAGAGACTGGTTAAGTGCCAATAAAAGCCACATGACAATCTTTCTTTATGACTTTTAAGCAACATAGTCAATTACCAGGAAATTCTACTTCCAGATACTTGTAGAAGTATCACCTCTGATTTCTGTATATGTAAAATAGTATAATGTTGTATGGTCTTTAAATGTTACAGGTAGCACCTTTTTTTTATTGGAATCTAAATACCGTTTGTGCCGTTTTGCTTTTCCCTTGTGTTAAGTAATGAGTGCAATCCCTCCCTGCTTCTGCACAATGCTACAGTACATAAATATAAATCTCATCCGTCTCCATATCTCCATTTTCTCCTCCCACAGATGGATCCTAAACTCCGTCCATCTTTCACCGAGAACGTCCGGCACCTCGAGGAGATTCTGGTCCGCCTTAAAGTGGAAGAGATGGAGCACGAGTGTGTTCCTCTCAGTGGGGACAACGACAAGAAGACGATACCCAAAGGTAACACTAATAATAATAATAATACATTTCATTTATATAGCACACTTTAAAAACAGCGTCATCTCAAGGTGCTTCACACTGCACACAGTCCCACTCTGTCATGCTGGGATTTTTCATTTACAGTCAATAAAAGTCTATTTGTTTCCGAGATGACAGTTAATTCCTGTAAAGGAAACAGAAACCTGTTTTATATCCTTCCTCTGGCCTCTCTATACCCCCACCCCGGATTTACTCTTATGTAGTCAGACGTACAATTGGACAGCTAGTCAATATTAACTTGTTATCCTGTCAGTGTCAAACCTAACAGGAACTTCTCCTCTCTGACACCAGTTCCTCTTGCGAAGCACGGTGCAGATCTCACGTGTTTCAGTCAGTTACAAGCTAACTGTTTACACCGTCCTGTCCAGATTTAAACTTCACTTCCCTTTTAGTTATAAAATCGGCTTGCAAGGAAAGTAATACCCCTATTTCCCCTAGGGTTGTGGCTACTAATAACTCTCCATATGATTTAATCTGCAGATTTTGAACAATAGATTGATTGTTTGGTCTGTACATTGTCAGAAAATAGTGAAAAATGTCAATCCTACTGTCACAAATTCCCAAATAAAGGCAATACATGTGTTTTACTGTCAGTCCAAAACCCAAATATAGTTTATTACATAAGATATAATATGATATTTACACAGAAAAACTAAAAAAGCAGGACATCTCCATGTTCAGAAGCTGAGCAGCATTTTTGCATGAAAAATTACAGTTGGAAAGTTAATCAATTATAGAAATAGTTGCATTTATCTGCAATCATTGATTTAACTTCCACTGTGAGATCCTCTGTTAAATCCACTGTATTCCCTCTTTTTGCACACCAGTAAGTTAGTCAAATCTGTTCCAACATTTCCATATCATATTAAATCAAGCACAGAGTCCTTGGTTGCTGATAATATAAACACAGGTCTGAGATTTTAGATGCCTATTTTGAGATACTTGATCCATGCGTCCAGGTTTCATTTCTAATTTGGTCCAGCGCTCCGCCGCCTGCCTGTCTGACCATCACACAGCCGCTCATGTTTTCGTTCAGACGTGAGACCTTTTTCTCACTACTAAAGAGTGTGAAGAAGGAAATAAGGGACATATGATGCAACACAGGAAGCAAGAGGGTTTTTTTTGTAGTGAAACTTGTGTCCAAACTGTTGTTGTTAATGTACATCAAGCTAACAACACGTAGAAAACATAAAATGGACCTGTTTGCATAGTAAATATTAGGGATGCTCCGATCGATCGGCCGATATTCACTCTCGGCCGATCGATCGGTGCTCTCTATAAAGGCCGATCAGGAGAGCCGATCAGATGACGCAAAATACATGAGACTGTGCGCGGCAAAACAAGCTCGCCAAAATGGCTTCACCAGTCTGGCAGTTTTTCAAGGTGTCCGAAAAAGACAATAAAATAGCGGTATGCAACGTGTGTGAAGCAGAAATCCTGCAGCTCCACCCGCTGTGACGGACCGGTGAGCGGAGCAAAACACACACTAACGGACCGTCCACACAGCAGCGTTAAAAAATCTTGAAACGCTTCTGCCCATTCACTTTGAATGGGGTGACGTCACTTTCCCTCACTTTTCGCCGAACTGCATTGTGGGAAGCAGAGCGGAGATTTTCAGGATTTTCAGGATTCAAAGTTGAGCAATGTTCAACTTTTGAAGCTGAGGTGGAAGCGTCAGCCAATCAAATCCCGTGTACGCAAATCTGACAGTTCAAGTGATAGCCAATCAAACCGCGTGTATGCTGGGAGAGACATACCGCAGGTCATTTCCTCATATTCCAAAACATGGAGGAGAAATTAGCGGTAGGGAATCACCCGGTGCTTTATGACCAGTCCCTATTTACCTACCGGGATACAAACCGGAGGAGCCAGGCATGGAGGGAGGTGGCAGAGACAGTGGTATGTTTTCGCCTGTTTGGGGAGTTTATATCCAGTTTACTTCAAACTTTTTTGCTTCGTATGTCGGGGGCGGGAGATTCATGTGATTGGTTGTTGGTGCCTTGCTCGCAAAAAATCCCCAAGCTTCAGATACGCCCACCTCCAAGATTCTTTTAACGCTGCTGTGTGGACGGTCCGTAAGAGTTAGACCTAACACACTTAGCTATTTTATCTACCTCTGGAACAAGCTAAACTAGTTATACATATGTTTATTCTTCACTGTCGGGTCACTCATTACTGGATCAGTGAGCTGCATGAGGTACTGACGGGCTGTCTGGAGAGAGAGAGAGGGGGAGAGAGGAAAAGAGTGCGCTTCCTCTCATTTCTCCCGTGTTATTATCCAAAGTTAATGTAAACTTGAATAATGTACTTCATTTGAATGTAATAATTATGTTGGTTGTGGAAGCGCATCATGTATTGAAAATTAATCTGAACTTTTCGATCCGTTACTATGATAAACTGAAGCAATATAAAAATGAGCCCCATTAACTGAGTTTTAAACAAAACTTCAAATGGAAGAGCCCCATAGCGCCCACCCACCCTATGATCGGATCGGCGATCGGTATCGGCCGATGCTGATTCCGGCGATCGTCCCCAAAAACCCCGATCGGAGCATCCCTATAATATCTCTAATGTAGTTTATAATGTGTGTAAACATGGCCTGAATCTGACAGTTCGCACTCGATTGTCAGAACGAGTTCTCCTTTTGCTCCGAGTACCTGATAACATCAGCGTTTCCTGAAAACCAGGTTTGCTCTCTCATTGGGAAATGTTTATTTGCATTACAACCTTTTAGCCAAATATGTTGGTGGATTACATTTTTGGTCATTTCCTCATGAGTCACACAAAAATAATTCAAATACTCCTGACACAAATGAGATGCACGGTGGAAGAGCAACAGAGCTTTAAGATTTAAGAGGACGATAATAAATAAAATGTTGTTCCTGGTTAGCTTGTTTCGTTATATCTATCCACTTTGTACTTTTTCACATTACTATTTTTCTTTTTTTATAACAATGGCATCATGCATTTTTTTTAAATCTTTCTTCAATCATATTCATTTCCTTCCTTTCACTACACTATTTAAAATTATATTTAGACTGTATGAGAATATTAAGATCCAACCACACTGAGGAGGATCTTTCTGCATAGAACAATCTCATCCAGTGCCTTTGGAAACATTGGAACTCCAGTCTATGTACTAAGAATGCAGCCTGTACTGACACCTAGTGGTTACATTAGATTCTCTATTTTACCTTTGGAGCACTATAAAACAGATTCAACATTCAAAGGCTTCATTGTGATATGCACACTAGTTACCGTGTAGCTTTGGCAATGAAAGTCGTAAGTCCCAGCCTCCTCCAACAATGCAACATACATTTATATAAGATATCAAACAATAAAAAATAGTGCAAGACGAAAAATAAATGGAAATTAAATAGTGCAAAAATGTTGCAAGTGACCAATGTTCAAGTAAATGTGGAGATAAGTAAACCAGGAATAGATTAAGATAAGAATAGAAAAAGAGATTACAATTAATTACTCTACAGTCGAATAAAATACAGCTTATAATTTTTACAAATGTTATGTTATTATTTAAACGTGCCTGTCTCTCCTCTCCAGGTGAGAAGATCCAGGGCTTCAAGCGCCTGAACCCCCTGGGCTTCCAGGATGATAAAATCCCTCAGAAGTCTCCTCGCCCGCGAAGAAACATCTGGCTCAGCCGCAGCCAGTCCGACATTTTCTCCTGCAAACCGGGGAGAAAAGTGAACGTCCAGGACCCTTCCTACAACCCCCCCGCCCCCCAGCGGGCCTCCAAAGCTCGCAAGATCAACCCGTTCACCGCCCGCGAGGACCTGTGCGGGGGAAAGATCAAGTTCTACGACGTTCCCAGCAAGTCCGTGTTCGACCTGGTGTTCGACCTGCACTCGCCCCCGGGGAGTGTGTTCAGTGACCCTCCGTCTGCTAATGGACCTGGGGGGGCCACTCAGGGGACGTCCTACTACTGGCAGCAGCTCCCAGGCAGGCAGTGCCACTCGGTGCCCGTCTCCCCCCAGCTGCCCCGCTCGGATGTCTTCCAACACCTCGCAGACGCCGTCAGCTCCAACAACAACGGCTCCGTCACCTGTTCCTCCAGCCAGCTGCCAGGTGAGCGCTCTCCATCTGGGTTATTCGTTTTTTACATTTCTTAAAAAAAAGATTGCATAGAAGACAATATACAACTTTAAATGAGACTGTTAACTAAAGACCCTGCCCAACCCCTCCACACACACAGCTACTGGACCATTCATTAATGTCCATACATTCAAACATTCACACTGGACCTTTTTGATGAGCTAACACATAAAAATGGCTTTCTTTGAGCGACACAGTGGCAGTTGGTACAAGTGGGAAGCTGTTTCATGAACTTTGACAAAACTAGATAATGATTGTTCCCTTTCTCTCTTTTCCGTTTCCCTCTTTTCTCTTTTTTAGCAATCAACTTCAGGTCTGACGCAGGCCTGATGGGAAATGAAGTCCGGCAGAAGGCAGCGCTGACTAGCTGGGCAAAGAAATACGTCGTGGTCGAGATCCCACCTTACTGCAGGCAGAGAGGAGGGGAGGAGGAGGAGGAAGAGGAGGAGGGGAGGAAGGAGGAGGAGGAGGACGAAGAGGAAGGGAAAGAGTTGGGGGAGAGCTGGTCTCCGATGGTCCCCAGCAGTGACAGAAACAGTGGAGAAGCCATGGACTGCTCCAGCAGCCTGGAGGAGGAGGGAGGGGAACACCTGCCCCCTGTAACACACATGTAAATCCACACACACATACATGTAAATACACACACACACACACACACACACACACACACACACACACACACACACACACACACACACACACACACACACACACACACACACACACACACACACACACACACACACACACACACACACACACACACACACACACAGAGGGTGGAGGTGCTGGGAAGGGTGTGGTGGATCCCCCTGGATGGAGGACATGGAGGCAGTAGACTGAAACGTCCGACACATTTCAAGACAAATAATAGAAAAAGCACGATTTTCATCTTTCAAGTGCACGTCTCACTGAGTAAATCAAACACACCTGTTATAATAAAACTCCCCCATCACCCAGGTGTGAGGGGAGGAGTCTCCATTTAGCACAAAGAAAAAGCTTTTATCGGCACAAATGGACGCTCAGCATAGAGATTATTTTTTTGAAAAAGGTTGTTTATATTTAATATTGTGAGATGATTTTTCGTCCTCTAAAGGTTTCTTACATTAGGTGTCTCGTGTATGACGAGGGGCTTTGGAGATCCCTTGTGTTGTGAGTGTTTGAAACATGTTGATACTTTCCTCCTGTGTTCTAGATACAAATGTTTATCCCATATTCTCCCGAGACAGTGGGCTGATTATAATAAGAGAATTCAAGGTGAGTTATAATAACTGAGTGCCTGAGAAACAACACTCATGGGACAGATGATGAACAGCAACAGTGGATTTGAAGAGGAGACTGTTTTTAGTTTGATGACATACTGGAGTTGTCCTTTTTGGCACAGAAAATGAATCAAACAGTTTAACAGTCAAAGCAGAGCATTCACAGTTTGTAGTTTGGTCGTGAATCTCTTGCTGCTATTTGAGATTATCTGGTGATTTCGGCAGCAGAGAGAGAGAACTTCCCGTATCTCCTGATATTCAGATTTGTAGTGCTTAAAAAGGACTTATTTGTACTATCAATTAAATACTGTACAGTCTCCAAGAGCGAGAATGCACCATCACCATCACAGTCACTAGCTTCAGGAAACGTCAATTTGCCCTCATGCTGTTATTACCCCTTAATGTTGTTTTTCTGTTAAAGCTACATAGTCCCAACGTACAGAAAGTAGGTACTTATTAAAGAGGGGAAATTCAATCTTGGATCAAACTTATAATCAAGATGAATTAAGATGATTTACAGTGTGAAGGTGCTGCAAACGTGTCCTAAAACAGTGTTATAAGACAGACAGATGAGATGAGGTGAGGCTTTCTGACGCTTCAATATGTCCTCCCTCATAGATGAGGGGTCAACATGTCATGATGTTGAATTCAGTTCAAAGACTAAATATGTTATTCTATTAGCAAGAGTTACGTGAAATCACCACACACTCCATTAGATTTAATCCCTTCTTTTTATCTCAAAGAAACAAGAACAAACTGAGAATGTCCTTCCTAAAAACTCAACAGAGACTTCAGCCATTTTACTTTAAAAGAAAGCAGATGACTCAGCCTCACAGAATACAGCTCGGGTTGGATTAATCATATTTTAATTCAAAAGTAAAAAGCCCATTCAGGTGTTTCTGATGTCAAGTTTTCCACTTTGTTGTGAGCAAAAACCTAATAGTATTTAGTATCTAAAATGTGTCTTTCATCACAAATGATTAGTACTAAGTAAATGCACCTGTTTAAGTTTCAACCTGAAAGATGGTACGTCAGTTCTAGTGGCAATATTTGACCTAAAATGAAATGTGTATTTTTCTAATTGAAGCCCATTTCCAATCTGAACCTAAACCTCTTACAGATTTTGACACACTCGTTTTGTTGCTGTTGACCATCGGTTCAATCTGTGTTATTAAATCCACTCCAGTGAATATCTCATAGACTCTCCTGTCCTCACTCGGTCTCATTGGTCTTCAGCGTGTAATCTAATGACACTTATACATCTATATTTGTTAAACATGTTCTCGTTACGTTCTGCTGATCTTCTCTTCAATAGGATCTAAATGCACTTGTACAGCGATCTCCTCTGAACTACTTGTCACTACTTTTCTATGCAACCAATGTAACTTTCTATGACACTGTATTACAGTATAAAGGATCTAATTTGATATTTATGAGAAAACATGTTTAATGTCTTACCTTTGTATATTTGTGTAAAAAGTTTGTGTTACCTGCCTTGATAAATACAGATTGAAATGTCTTTGCTGATCGAATAACAACAGCTGCTCTGAGTTTTCTTTGTGTCTCGTTCGATTCTTCAACGCAGCTTCACTCAAAAATAAAAAGATTTCTTAAGATCTTCGGTCGGTTTAGGTTTGGTTTAACATGAGCACACCTAACCTCCTTATTGTCAAATAACTTAAAATTACTTAGTTTAATTATCTATCTTTGCTTTTTACTATTGAGTATATCCACATATGTCACAACAACCCAACATGTCAAACAAAGCACTCTTACAAGATAATGGGACAAGAGGACTGTTGGTGCTTTTCCAAAGATTTTTATACACAAGATGTCTTTTGTTACAAAAATATTAGCAGTGTTAATATTGTAGTTAATAAGACCAACATGAAAAGAGCATTCCTTCTGTGCTTATTTAACTGAGCCTTTCTAAATAGCGAGATTCACAATTAATAGACCATACCAGAGGTTTTGAGGCATTTTCTACAAATCAGATATAATATTTCTTACCATTAACTGTGATTAACGTTAATTTGTATCTTTCCTCCAGTTTCAGGCAGCGAAATCAATCTTTGACCGACATTTTTTGCAGATATTTAAGTTGAAGTGAGTGAAGACTTAAAAACAGAAAAACACACAATTTAGACTTAGTGTTCATTGTGATAAGATCGCACCATTAAAGGTTGAACTTATTGTCATTACGTAGTACAGGTACTATGTAACGAAGCGGTTTCTCTGCATTTGACCCATCCTAGTGTTAGGAGCAGTGGGCTGCCATTATGTACGGCGCCCGGGGAGCAGTGGAGACACCTCGGTAGCACTTGGTCTTTCCGGGACTTGAACTGGTGACCTTCCAGTTGCCAAGCCAAGTCCCTATGGACTTCGCCACCACCACCGCCCCTACATGTAAAGTTAAAGAGTCCAATAACAACAAATGGACGCTAGTGTCTGGATTGGTAGGAAATAACTTGAAAAAGAAGAAGTGACTTAAAGGGGACCTATCATGCAAAATGCACTTTTGTACGTCTTTTATACATGAATATGTGTCCCCGGTGTTCCAGGGAACTCACCAAGTGTCAGAAAACACAACCCTCTCTATTTTCCTCCATACCCAAATCTCTAAAAAAGGGGCTGCAACGGATCTGATCAAAACTGATCCAGATTTGAACACTGTCCTGACGTCAGGACGGTGGCGCTACGGCTATTGGGCCAACTCCACCAATCAGGAGGAGACAGCCACGGCCATTGCCGTTCGAAAGCGCTGGAGACGCTGTAGTACCTATGCCAGGCCTGTAGATGGTGCTGTTCTCACTGAATCTGCCCAGAGCTAGAAATTGTCAAATTGAGCAAAATGAGACATGGCTAAAATGCATGATCTGTTTGGTATTTTGAAAAAAAAAAAGTATAAATATGCCTTATATAGGTATGGTCCTACACTATATTATTCAAATATAGCATGATAGGTCCACTTTAAATTAAACCCGGTTATGATTTTTTGTTAAACTTTGGACCATATGAAGACCACCAGACTGATGGACAGTTCATCCCACAGGCCATAAGACAACTCAACACCTGAGCTTGCACTATTTCTGTTTTTTCTGTCTTGTAATTGCACTGTTGAGGAACCTGCGATCTAAGTTTTCCATACATTACATAATTACCGTAGCTGTGTATATGACATGACGATAAACCTTTGAATCTTGAATACAGAACTACTCGCTTGATAATCAAATGATGATTCCAGACTAGTATCTTGCATCAAAATGACAAAGAATAAAAAACAGTTTATAAACAAAGCAATGTAGAACAAATAACCCAACGTTTTTTTATCTAACGAATCCCCAAGATCCAGGTTCAAGATGTTTAAAGAAACATGGAAGTAACTGAACATAGGATTTATAAAAATACCCCCCTGTGATCTCAGTGTTTGACCCCTAACCCATCGCAGTCCCCCTGCTTCCACTCCTACTGCTATTTATTTCATTTTTTGTTTTAGTTTATTTGTGTATAGTGTCGTGGACAGTCCCCATTGATCAACTGTCACAAAGAACCGTAAATGGGGCAGCTTTAGCCAACATGGCTCATTTCCAGCTGTTGTCCCCGGCCAGATGATAATGGACACCCTTAAAATCAATTGTTTGTTTGTTCACCATGTAAAAGCAGCCTTGGGTCCCTTGAAAGGCGCTTAGAAATGTAATCTATTATTAGTGTTATTATCATCAGTGTGCCGTCTTCTGATGCGACTTGAGGCTGGAGCGCTGTGTGAAGCTCTTCCCGCACAGCGCGCAGTGGAAGGGTTTCTCCCCGCTGTGCACCACGGCGTGCCGGATCAGGTTGCACTGCTTCGTGAAGCTGCGTCCGCACTGCACGCAGCTGAAGGGCTTCTCCCCCGTGTGGCTCCTCAGGTGCTCCTTCAGCTGACTGAACCTCATGAAGATCTTGTTGCAGAACGTGCAGCTGTACCTCTTCTCTCCGATGCCCGTCCTCCAGGGCGTCCTGATCCTCCTCGCCAGGCCGAAGTTACTGCGGAAAGAAGACGTTGTGCTCGGAGGCGTCAAATCCTCGCTTTGGGCCGAGTCTCTGAACTGATGCTGCGATTGCTGAGGAATTAAACACTGATCTATGGTGTTATTGTGAGATAAGTGTCCTTCATCTTGTTGTGCTCTCTTACATCCAAACGTCCTTGCTCGTCTTTTCACGCGTGCTGCATTCACTGTAACTGGATGTGATTTCCCTACAGAGTGAATTTGAGGCCCCATGTCTTCCAAAGCAGACGGGAACACAGAGGGATTCGTCTCAAACTGATGCTCAGCGTACGAGAAGCTCGGACCAACATCGTCTCTGCACAGATTGGTCGACCACAGCTGTCCGTCTCCTTCCTCTGCCTCAAATATGTGGGCTGATTCAAGAGGAGCCTCGTTCTCGTCAGGTTGTTCCTCTTGTTTCACTACGAGCTCGACCTCAGTCTGGTGTGTGCTCAGCTGCTGCTCTGGGAAAGCGTTGTATCCGTCTATTACAGAAACCAGAAGTCCGGGGTCTGCTGGAGTCTCAGAGGAGTGATAACGCTCTGCAAAGCTGTCAACGTGGGGATGTTCGGAGGCGTGGAGAAATGGAGGCTGCTCCGTTTCAGAGACTAAACATAGATGGATAGATGAAATGTTAAATACACTTCTAAATGTATAAAGTTGGCAAGTAAGGAAGTGTTTGAACTCACTCAGGTTGTCCTCCTCTGCACTCTCATCTTTGATCAGGATGTGTTTATCAGCCGGCTCTACGTCTACACACTGCAACACCAGGATCAACGTTACATTAATACACTGTTAGTTAACACCTCGTACATCAAGTCAATTGAACAATCCTTAAAATTAAATGCTTTGTAGTCATTTGGAGAAAGACCAAAGAAATGTCTCCTGGGCTAATAAATTGATCAAGACGCTTTTGATTATCAATTCATTGTTTAAGTCATTTACCAAGTCCAAATAATAAAACATCTTCCAATATATAATATATTGGCCAGACAAAACAAGCAATTTAAACATAACATTTGGCCCTGTGAAACTGTTGGAGGCATTTTGTCAATGACTGGGATTGATGATCACTTGATTGACCATAAGAGCAGATTCATAAACAATAAAAGTAACACTTTGCATTATTCATACCTGCTGGTTTGGAATTTGAACCTCAGCCTCCCAGTCTGTGTTCTGTCTCTCTCTGTTCAACACTACTTTAACACCAGGGGAGAATCTCTCAGCTGCTGGAGGATAAAACACTGAGGAAGAAGAATACATGTTAAAAGCACAAACTACAGATAACAACTTAACACCTGGGAGTGTAACTACCCTCACCTTTCCTCCTGGCTCTCGCCCTGGTCCTCCTCAGCTCGGCCTCCATGCCCTCACTCCTCCTCTTCAGCAGCTCGATGTCCCTCCGACTACGGCTCACCTCCAGCCGCAGCACCGCGCAGCCGTCCTCCACCCGCCGGTCCATCTCTGCCACGGCCGCCTGGGACAGGACCTCCAGGACGGACAGCAGCTGGCTCTGGAAGCCGCCGTGCTCCATGTTCTGCAGCTTCTTAGTCAAAAATAAAAAATAAATAAGCTCACCTTTAGATACCAGTATGTCACTCAGCAATATAATTAATGTGTACAAATCGTTTCTTAGTCAGAAATAAAATAAATAAGCTCACATGTAGATGTAGATGTCACTCAGAAATAGAATGAATGTGTACAAATCGCTTTAGATACACACTGTAGCTTTGTGTATATTTCTTATGCGGATGTTGTTAGGGAGAGAGTCGCTTGTTTTGAATCTCCCCGCGGTTCGCACGGGCGGTGTCACTCCCTTTCTGCTTTAGTTGCACACATAATCATTCATCTTTTTATACTTAACACTTCCACATCTACTGTTATATGCAATTGACACAAGAAAAATCATGTTTATGCTTTTTTAACGTGTTATTGTAGTGATTTCCACCACTTAGGGACGTACTGGTATACAAGACGAGGTTACCGTAGCAACGTCACCTGATCGTCAGTTGCTGTATACCGTAAATATTGGACAACATGTGCAACATGTGGCTGAAACTGGAACTCACGTTTACTCGATGAATTCAGGTGACTAAATATATTTGCAACTATGTCAAAGTTGCTAATTAAACAATATATTTAAACATTTTTAATCATACAACAATTTTTCCTACAATAGTTCTCAATCATTGAGTATAATTCCCGTAACTTGACGTCACCTTCAATACATTGAAGATTGAAGCCATGTATTCAAACATCAAACTTTATTTGTATAGCCCAATATCACAAAACACGTTTGTCTCAGTGGGCTTTACAGATTAAAAACAAAGAGCAACATTGTATATGATGGAGTTACAGCTAAATGAGAAGACAAGATAGTGTGTGGAATAGAAATAAAACAAAAATAAGATAAGATACAACAGAAGACAATAACAATACATAAAACATTCAAATTAATTACCATACAAATAAAATAAAATGAATGCCATTAATAAGCTTATACAACGATAAAGAGCGAAAGATAAATAAATGCAATGTTCACTCTGTACCACTTTCTAGTGATTCAGCATTATAAGGGGTTTATTTGTTACAATTAATGGTGAACTAATTAACCTATAATAAAGCATTCATCAGTTGTAAGCCATAATAAGATTAAATTGCCTGGTTCTAAAAAACAGCAACTACACTAATAGGGCACTTATCCTCTGGTATTAAGACCAAAATCAATTTCTTAACAAAGTCTAATTGATAGTATGTTAGAAAAAGGTGAAAGCCACAACAATGTATGAATGGACTACCAACAAATCTGCATTATTAGACAACTATGCCCAGTCAACAGGTACAGCCTCCAAGTACCACACATGCCTCAGTTAACTACTTTATCAAAGACTATCAATAATACGATGTTTTAAAAAATATTATTATTAATATTATATCCGATACAATATTGCAAACTATATGGAACACTGATGCCAACTAACTTGTGCCAAAAAACACCTCTGTGCTCAAACCACATTTTCAGCTACTTACTTAACTTAAGTAGTTAGTTAACTTGAACATTTCCATGTTATGCTACTTATACCCTATTACCATACAATTACTACAGAAGTTATACCTAAAGTGTACAAGAGCTTATAATTATTGTGTACTTTTGCTGAGTAGAATTTTAAATCAACAGCTTTTACTTGAAATTGAGTTTTTATGTAATGGTATTCTGTGATTCTTAATAATTTGTGCTGAATTGTGGTAATTTGAGTTTGTGTTGTGGTTTGACTTCTTTGTTTTCAGGGCACTTATTATGCTTTCCAGTTGTTGGAGCATGTTGAAATTATTTGGGGTCATTGCACTTGTACGTCTGGAACCTTTGTGGTACTTTGTGATACTTCTACAACACCCGCTGAGGTCTTGTGTTGTGCTTAAGTTTGCAGTAGATGGTATTGCCATATACCATTTATTTACCACTGACAAAGTCAAAGAAAATGGGCTAAAATGTGTGTGTACTTTCCAATTCCTGCTGTCACGGTGAGAATCACACACAAAGGTTGTTTTACACAATGACAAACGCTGCACATAAAGGGAAATAGATGCATTGTACAGATACACTGAACTGATTTCCCTACTAAATCAGCAGAGGCAGATAAACCGTGAGCCACACACAGAGAGAAAGCGCAAGAGAAGGAGACACACTCAGGAAGTTAACAGGGGAAGTATAGCGGTTTCTTGCGTCATCATTTTATGCTGCTTGTATGCCGATGCAGAGTGAAGGTAGGAACACTGGCTTTTAAACTTCTTTATTTCATTACATTTTAAACTCTTTTCCAAAAGTGTACATATAGAGAATGATGGTGGAGAAAAGTAGAGCAGTGGCAGGTGTCAGGAAGGTGGAGGGGATGGGTGTTGAGTTTGAATGTCTATAAGTCTATATGTTCAGTGCTTGACTTCCGCTGCAGTGAAACAAGGGGCCACAATGGCTGTGACATGCGGCTGAGGAAGGAACGACCGGGCTGAACTGAGCTCCTCCGTCAGGCTGGAGCTCAGGGTGGAGGTTAATATAGACCCACCAGCACAGAGAGACATTACGGTGTGATTAGAGAAACATTCAGAGGCCAACTCACTGAATAGGAGAAGTAAAGACGCAAGGGTGTGGCCTTTCATTTGAAAAAAACTAGAGCATCAGGGGGAAGTGGAGAGCCACATATGCATGCTTTGGATTCAGTTCAGTTTGTTGTTTGAATTGAGCTGGTGTTTGCACGAAGACACTTATTATATTTCTACTTTTGCAGGGTGGAAGTATGTCCTAACACTTCAACGTATCAACTCCAATGCAACGCGGCCTACAGAGGAAACAACCTGCAGCCAGCAACATGCACTGAAGCAAAGGAAACAGAAGCAGCAGCAGCAGCTCGGTTAGATTTGTGAAATGTGCAGCGCCTCTACTAAGTCTTTGTCACGTTAACCGAGTTGGACAACACATCCATCAGACACACAGACAGACAGACAGACAGACAGTCAGTCAGTCAGTCAGTCAGTCAGTCAGTCTGACGGACAGAAACTGAAGGAGAGCTCGGCCGGTCTGAATGTGAACTGAAACAGCCGAGATGAGGAGAAATCGGAGGAAAGGAGTGAACAAAGACAAGGTGTTTGGATGTGACCTGCTGGAGCACCTGACCACCTCCTCTCAAGAGAGTGAGTGAACATCTGTATCCCTGTTAACATGTTCTTATGTATGGATAAATAGCAATAGATGTGCCCGAAACCTCACCAGAAACAACGTGAATGTGTAAACAAATACATCTGAATCACAATACCATTTTCAAGCAATAGGTGTAAACATATGGATAGATATCTCCAATATGTGGTAACATACGTGAAATGAATACGTGAGTTACACAATGTGTTTTTTGTGAATATTACAAAACCACAAATGACATCCTCTAAATGTCAACCTACAGTTTGTAAGAGAAGCATTCAACAGGAATGATGGTTGACAACTTTTTACTAGTAATGTCTTGTTCAGAACATTTATAAATGATTTGTGACTTGTCAAAAAAAGACTTTTTAATTATTTATTTGTTAGACTCAAACCACACAGCATTACACCAGTTCTGCAAACAGTGAAATGATGTGAGCTTTGTGAGGTTGTTAGTATTTTATTTCATTTTAGGAGTCGATATGGTAATTAACAGTCCATATGTGGAGTGTGGATTTAGCGTTTTCCTTAACAGAAAAAAACATTGCTATCTCATCCCTGAAGCTTCTTTGATTTTACATGTACATCATTCTTCAATCACATGGTCTTCCTTAGGTGTCCATGAAGAATACAACAACAACAATAAAAGTGTGTTGTGTGTTTGTGACCTACAGTACAGTCACATAATGACTATATGTGTATGTTCAAAGTTAACACATTGAAAATCAATCTTATGTCAATATTCATTTAGTTAATCCACCATTTCCCACAGTTCCTCAGGTCTTGCAATGCTGCAGTGAGTTTGTTGAGAAGCATGGCGTCGTGGATGGTATCTACAGGCTGTCTGGAGTGTCGTCCAACATACAGAAACTCAGGTAATGTGTGTGCGTGCGTGCGTGCGTGCGTGCGTGTGTGTGTTTGCAGCAGTGTGCCTTAGGGCTGTGCAATTAATCGTATTTTAATCGCAATTACGATTTTGGCCTGCCACAATTACGAAAACAACATAATCGAAAAAAACAATTATTTTGCTTTGCTTGGTTGTGACAGTGCAACATATTTGATCTAATTAATTTTGGTCTCATTTATTTGTATTTATCATATTTATATATGTTTAGTAGCTTTTGGAAGTGCGCTCCAAAATATTTGTTGATCTTGTTTATTGGTATTTATTATTTTGATATTATTTATTTAAATGTATCATTTAATTTATTTATTTTTGTATTGGTTTTTCAGTTGAATTATACGTTCAGGGTAATCAACAGTTAAAAAGATACTGTTCAAATTATTATTTGTATTTGTTTTAAAGTTCAATAAATGGATGTTTTCAAAGTCAATGAATAATCGTATTTAATAATCGTGATATCAATTATTGACCCAAATAATCGTGATTATGATTTTTGCCATAATCGCACAGCCCTAGTGTGCCTCTCTTTGAACCTATATCTGTAAATGTGTACGTTTTAATTAGGTTTGTGTGTTGTGTTGATATTCTCCTAACTGACTGTATGTGTGCGTACCACCAGGGGCGAGTTTGAGAGCGACGGGAGTCCAGATCTGAACAAGGATCTGTACCTGCAGGACATCCACTGTGTCAGCTCTCTGACTAAAGCTTATTTCAGAGAGCTGCCCAACCCTCTGCTCACATACCAGCTGTATGACAAGTTCGCTGTGAGTAGCTCAGAAACATTTGACACTCTTTTCCCCCTTTCCTATGTGTTCATTTAGTGTTTTAGACAAGAACAAAGTGATACGAATGACCTATCCTGCAAAGAAAGCATGGGATATATAAATCACAATGCCCATATTTCCCTATGTGCCATTTTTCCAGCAATTCAAGTTGAGTAAAGGCGATAAATTGTACCAACATTTTGATTTGAAAACATGTGTGTGTTCCAGGAGGCTGTGGCCCTCCAGCTGGAGGAGGAGAGGCTGGTGAAGATCAGAAATGTTCTGAAAGAACTACCAGAACCTCATCACAGGTACTGTGCTCTGCTGCAAACTACATTCAAACAGTCTTTCATCTTTACCATGAGGAGCAGGCGACACCAAAGTGGGGATTCTTGCACTTTCGTTATTATTGTTTACTTCCAGTTAGTAGTATATATACTTTTCGAAGTCCACATCATTTAGGTAAAATAGGAACATCCACATGCCTCTTTGTTTAGGGTTTGTCGACTTCCTGCTTACACAGATTGTCAGGGCTCTACCAATAGGAAGCCAGGTAGGAAAGTGTGTGTATTGGTTGGGAATTATACCGTCTTTTATCATACACAGAAATACACAGAATATATCAGACCCCCATTTGTCCTGGAGACTCTGTACAATAGGATTTTGGTTGTTGTATCAATGTCATCAACATAGAAACTGATTTTTTAGCCCAAGTCACATTTTTGAAGGCTTTTTTGGGTGTTTTTATTAATTGAGTTTAACGCTTCGCTTCCTTGCCATCAGGACTCTGCAGTTTCTGATGCGCCATCTGGTCAAAATGGCCTCATTTTGCTCAGAGACCAACATGCACTCCAGGAACTTGGCCATCGTCTGGGCCCCTAATCTGCTCAGGTTTGCATATATTATAATGCGACATAATATATGTGTTGTTTATTTTCTGTTGAGGATGAGACACAATATGTCCTGACTCTGCTTGAAAAAATGCACAGGCTGTGTGTGTCATTTATTATTAACATTAAAGTAATAGAGAGGCGAAGTCCCGCCCATCTACTTCCATGGGGCCTTATTTCGGAAAAATTATGTATTGAAGTCAATGGGGAGAGAAAAATTATCTTTCGATCCCGTTTGAATTGTGCCACGAATTACACATATGATGTTTGTCAATCTTAAATAATAATTTCCATGTCAAAAAAGTCACAGTTTGTCGTAAAACTGTTGAAATATAAGACTATGAAAAATACGCAACTAGAAAGACTACAAATCCCAGAATCCCGGTCCCGCATGCTGGCTCTTATGAACCGACTAACTCCCCTTGTGTGTATGTACAGCTCTCAACATGCCCAGACTTGTAGTGATTTTCACCTCTTTTAATACTTTTCGCCTCATTCTGAAAGAAAGAAGTGAAATGTGCCAACGTGACGGCCCGTCTTGGTGTGTGGTGCGAGACGGGAGATGTAGTTCATTGAGCGGTTTCACACAAAAAAAGTGTTACTTCACAGTTTTACGACACATTTTAATTTTTTTGACTTGTAAAATTATCTTTTAAATTGACAAACATCATGTGTGTAATTCGTGGCACAATTCAAACAGATAAGATAATCTTTCTCTCTCCATTGACTTCAATGCATAACTTTTCCGAAATAAGGTCCCATGGAGCTCCCCCGGAAGGGGAGGGACTTCGCCTCTCTATAGATGGATAAAATAATGTGTTTGATAATATTATAAGATTGTATAACATCTGTTTTCTGTCTTTATCCTTCCATGCATTCATTCCTTTCCCTTTTCTCCTTTCGATAAAATGCATCTATCCATCCTTTCATTTATCTAACTGTTTACAACATAGATTCATTTTTCACATTCAATCACTCAATGTCCATATTAAGGTCAAAAGACATCGAGACGTCTGGGTTTAACGGTACAGCGGCCTTCATGGAGGTCAGGGTTCAGTCCATCGTCGTGGAGTTCATCCTCACACACGTCCCTCAGCTGTTTCCTGAAGAAGGTGACACACCACTTCATTTACTCTCTCAATGAGATGCTGAACAACTCAGAAATTAATGGATAACTGACTTACTCCTGACTTACTCCTGACTTACTCCTGATTTACTCCTGACTTACTCCTGACTTACTCCTGACTTACTCCTGACTTACTCCTGACTTACTCCTGACTTACTCCTGACTTACTCCTGACTTACTCCTGCCTTACTCCTGCCTTACTCCTGACTTACTCCTGACTTACTCCTGACTTACTCCTGACTTACTCCTGCCTTACTCCTGCCTTACTCCTGACTTACTCCTGACTTACTCCTGACTTACTCCTGCCTTACTCCTGACTTACTCCTGCCTTACTCCTGACTTACTCCTGCCTTACTCCTGACTACTCCTGACTTACTCCTGACTTACTCCTGACTTACTCCTGACTTACTCCTGACTTACTCCTGACTTACTCCTGACTTACTCCTGACTTACTCCTGACTTACTCCTGACTTACTCCTGATTTACTCCTGACTTACTCCTGACTTACTCCTGACTTACTCCTGACTTACTCCTGACTTACTCCTGACTTACTCCTGACTTACTCCTGATTTACTCCTGACTTACTCCTGACTTACTCCTGACTTACTCCTGACTTACTCCTGCCTTACTCCTGACTTACTCCTGCCTTACTCCTGACTTACTCCTGACTTACTCCTGACTTACTCCTGCCTTACTCCTGACTTACTCCTGCCTTACTCCTGACTTACTCCTGACTTACTCCTGACTTACTCCTGACTTACTCCTGACTTACTCCTGACTTACTCCTGACTTACTCCTGACTTACTCCTGACTTACTCCTGACTTACTCCTGACTTACTCCTGATTTACTCCTGACTTACTCCTGACTTACTCCTGCCCTATTCAGATTTATCCAGTGAGAGAAGGAAGTCCCTCCCCTCGCCGTCACCATTGCCCAATCAGGACGAAGGGTTTTTCAAAGGGCCTGTCCATCACTTTGGTAATATCAGTCCAGGAGATGGTCCTCTAGCCATGAGACCTTACCACGCTATCATCGAAGGCACCGACAAGTGAGTACACTCATTTATCTTATTATTTATTATGCCTGATCTGGTCAAAAGGACATGTTTAATACAGAGGTCAAAGGTGCAGTGGTGAAACTTAGAAAATAAATGGACATGTTTGCTGCCAATTGTAATTAAATCTTAGAAAACTGATTATTTAAAACGTATTTTGTGTGTTTCGTTCAGGAGGAAAGGATCTCTTAAAGGCAGGAAGTGGATGTCCATCTTCAACATCGGAGGACGATTTCAAGACCCACGACGGAGGCACAAACTCTCAACGAAAGGTAAATAACCTCATCATGGTTTTTGAGTCCTGGTAGTTGTCTCTTAGCTTTGATTATTTCCTTTTAAAATAAATTGCAATGTCTTTTTCTTTTGTTCTCTATATTCTAAATTTAAATGTTAAACTGTCTCATTCAAGTTTACATGTGCACTTTGGTAAATGACTCTCTAATAACAACATAGGCTCTGTCTGACACAGGAAGCTTACAGTTTTTAAAGATGTCAGGGCCTCAGGTAGGATTCAAACCTGGGCCGGTGCGGTACATCTCAATCTTTATTTATTTATATAGCACATTTAAAACAACCTAAGTTGACCAAAGTGCTGTACAGGGAATACATACAATATAAAATAACAACATGGGAGTAAATAATAAAACAATAATTAAAAACATGATAAAACATAACATGTAAAAACACATACAAATGTAAAAATGTTATGTTCAACTAGTATTAAAAGCCAGTGCAAGAGGTAAAGACTCAGCCTTTAAAAATGGAGAGCCCCACTTTTATTTTTTTTTGTATTTAAAGGTGGGGTAGGTACGTTTGAGAAACCGGCTCGAGATACAATTTTTGTTATATTCCATGGAATGCTCTTAACATCCCGATAGCAATGAATATCTTAAGTGCTTTGACAAAAAATCCATTAAAAAATGTCATCTGTGGAAGCCGGAAGTACTGTAAAAAGCACGACCAATCATTTTAGCCGGCCCGGCTAAAATAACTGGATGGCCTACCTGCCTGTCAGCCTTCCATCTGTGCACAAACTTATCTCGTGCCCTCATTGGTCACGTGCGCGTTCGTGTGTGTTGGAGGAGGGGCTCTGTAAGGAAGTGGCAGATTTTTTCCGGTTGTGTATTTTCAAATTCTAGCGATCTCGAGCTGGTTTCTCCAAAATTACCTACCCCACCTTTAATGGTTGTTGTTGTTTGTTTCAGAGAAAGAAAGGCCTGCTTTGAGACCAGCCAGAAGCATGGACTCGCTCAGCAACCCGCCCTATCCAAACGACGGTACTACTGGTGTCACACATTTCACAATTTCTGTCAGAATGATGAGGAAATAATTATATATATTTCAAATCATCAGCAAAACATGCTGTCAACATTGGAATCATTATCATCAAACATACCTTTCTAGTTGACTTTTTCAAATGCCATGTTATATATATGTTGTTGTAATGCTCACCATACAAACAAAGAGACAGAGACAGACAAAAGGCTGTAAGGTAAGATAAGATAAGATAAGATAAGATAAGATAAGATAAGATAAGATAAGATAAGATAAGATAAGATAAGACAGTACATTATTGATCCCAATTTGGGAAATGTTTGTGTTGCAGCAGCATAAAAGACATGGCATTGTACAATACAAATTAAAAAGACTAGAAATTGAATTTACAAATTAACAATAACAAAATATAAAGCAAGTTATTATATATACATAAGTATGTGAGGGATGGAATATTAAATATTAAACTGAATATATAAAATGTACAGTGAGATTTTAAGTCCAAGAGAAACTATGAACACACAATTGTTTGAAGATACTTGTTTGTGATCTGGAGAAGTCGTATTTTGGATCAAATTGAACTTTAAAACAGACATTCCACTTATCCGTCTGCTTTCTTCCAGCTTCCAGACGTCCCTGCCAGCGCCCTCCCTCCACCCACATGTCTCCCCTCGTCACCCCCTCCCCACAGCCTGCCTCCGAGGTCCCTGCCTCCCCCGGAGCGATAGGAGGCAGTGAATACGCCGTGACCTACCGCAGAGGAACAGGGCTGGTGAGCGGGGGCGCGGGGACGCAGGGCACCTACACCTCCCTGGACCCTGAAGGTTTATCTGGAAACGAGACCCTACTGTCCAGATCCCCAGGACTCTCCACTAAAGTGGGCCGGAGAGCAGCCATGCACATCACGGGGCCCACCATGGTGACCGTGCCCCTGCATATCACCTCGAACCTGGCTTTAGGGGTGCTGCAACGGGGCGGAGACAGTGTCATCCACAGAGGAAGGGATAAGGAAGGAGGGGACAGGGTGGAAGGTAAGGAGGGAGGAGAGAAGGTGGAGAGGAGGGAAAGCAAGGCAATGGAGAGGAAGGTGGCAGAAAGACAAAAGGTTGAGCAGGAGGAGGAGGAGAAAAGTCGTAGAGGGAAAGTGAAAGTGAGAGACGTGGAGGAAGTAATGGAAGCAGAAGGGGAGATGGTGATAGGAAGTGGAAGGGATGAAGATAAGAAAGAAGAGGAGAAGGAGGAAGGGGAGCTGTTGGTGGTAGACCAAGCTGTGTCCAAAGAGCTGCGAGCCAAAAGCCTGGCATCCAACACTGAGGAAGATAACGCCGTCGAAGATGACAATGATCTTGATGAATACATGGGTAATTTAACCAATTACACGACCATTGGAGTATCATATGTGAATACTACATGATTAATAATCTTAGATGGTTTGTAATCTCAGCCCATGCTTCATTTACAGAGATGAAAGATGTGCAGCCAGCTGACTGTGAGACGGCAGCGACTCAACACGATGATGGTTGTGTGTTCGATGATGCTGACGTCCTCAACTCAACCCAAGTGGACGGGGACCACCACGAGATGTCCGGATACGTTCAAGATAACTTTGAGTTCCTGGACCAAATGGACTGCAACATGGATCACATGGACTGCAGTGTGTCCTACCAGGTGGGTTCACATTAGCATTTTTTCTTTGTTGTATAAAAGTGGTATTCATTTGTGAAGAGTATCTTGCTGAACAAAACGTATAAGTATTAATATTTGAGCCAAGTCACCTCATTATCCAACATCTAAGGGAACTATGCCATTAGCTTTTGTCGAGGGAATCAGGGCCATGCTAACTTTGAGGTTGGCCTACAAAACTATGCCATCGTTTTAATGAAGAAGTCTGGCAGTAATTGGTCTTTCTCCATCATTCTGTGAGCAACCAATCACTGTGCTGCATAATGCATGAGTCTGCAAACAGCTCAAATAGAAGTAGTTGGTTACCTTGCTAAAATGGCAACCTGCAACATTTCATCCTGACCGTTCAAATAAGCCTTAAATATTTTAAACTGATCAAAAGAATTGCCAAAATGCCTGACATTGTCCTGTTTTTTGATCAACGCATCAGTGTAAAGATCACTGATCACCAAATTACATTTCCTGGGACTACTTTATTATAAAAGCATACACCAGTTAAATGCCAATGTGAAGAATATCTTGCTGAACAAAACGTGTAAGTATTCATATTTGCTATCCACTGAGCCTATTCACTTAATTATCCAAAATCGAAGGGAACTATTACATTAGCTTTTGTCGAGGAAACCAACTTCAAGGGAGGCCTCCAAAAATATGCCATCATTTTAATGTAATTGTTATTTTTCCATCGTTCTGTGAGCAACCAATCAATGATCAATCACTGTGTGTAAAGCTCGGTGATGATGATCAAATCAAATCCTGGGACTACTTTATTATAAAAGCAGACACCAGTTAAATGCTTCTAATGTGAAGCTGCAGTAATACGAAATGTTGGGTTTGCATTAGGATTGTTTTAATAAAGAATACAGAAATACAGAATTTTTACTGGGGATGTTGCCACAGACATTTAGTAGGTTAAATGTAATAACTATTACTATTGTAATATCTTCATCAGTGGGAAACACCTGATTTCAAGATTCAAGATTCAAGGCTTTTATTGTCATGTGTACATAGCTACAGTGTAGTTATGTCAATTAAATCTTAGGTCACAGGCAACACAATAAAACAGATAAAATAGAATAGAAATAGTGCAAGAACAGTCTATATACAAGTAATTGGAATATGATACATTAGATAAATAATTTGTAAGTTGCAAACAGATTAATGTTATGGATGTTCTTTCAAAAGTTCTTATATATATATATATATATAGAAAGATACTATTTAGAACAAATATATAAAGGGAAAGTTTTGTATCTCGAACTCCTTTCCTCATCCAGTTTGTTGTTGTTCCTCTCAGGTGAACGAGTTCTCCGTGGAGCCTCCCGGTCACTCGGACGATGAGTATGAAGTCATGGATCCTTCAGAGCTCCAGACAGAGTTAAAACCAACGAGGCCGCTCAGCATCAACTCGTACAACCGACACACTAAATCCCTCAGCCTGCCCTACCTGACCTCACCCGTCCCGGGGCTGGAGGACTCCGGCTCTGAAGAGGACGGAGCAGCGTGCGACAGCGATGATTACAGCAGTGAGGAAGACGAGAGCATGTTCATAAAGAGCCTCCCCGCTGAATTCTTTTTAAACAATTTGACCTTTGAAAGAGACACTGATAAACAGGAAGGTGGTGATGGAGTTCCTGAACACCAATCACAGAGCTGTGCTGACAGAGGATCCCAGTCTCTGTGCTTCGGGTTTCCTGCATGTGAAGAATCAGCTGCTGTGGGTCTGGAGCAGGAAGAAGGGAAAGATGAAGGAGATAAAGATGGACCGGAAGAAAAGGAGATGACAGAGAAGGAAGATGAAGATCACCAGGGAAGAGACCATCTGGAAAACAACGGGCAAAGGTGAAGCTGATTTTTTAAATTATATTTGAACACAATAACTCTCATATCATGCAAGTGCATTTCTGTCAGTCATAGTGAACAATTATTTATCAGAGAATGCGACTTTAAAGCTGCTTTGACCAATTTTCAATAATGACAGGTTAGATAACTGCATGTAATGTAAAAGGTGTTGCTTGTAGTGAAGAACCCTCAGATAATAACACATCATTTGTGTGTCTTTTAGTAAATTCATGCAGGTACACTTGTTCTGCTATACCCACTGTAGACTAGTGTAAGTAACAACAGTTTGGTAAGTTAGCATTTTTAAAGTGATAACTTGTCAAAGTTGTAATTAAAGTTTATTTCGCCATCCCTCAGAGGCAATAAAACCCCCCCAAAATGCATTAATGCTAGTTTAAGGCGAGACTATGTAACTGTTTAAATATTAGTTCAATTCATAAGCCGTCAAACACAAATGAATTACTATCTTCAGAAATATCATAAAACACCAACAACTGGGTTAAAAAACGATTGACTTTGGCAGAAATTGTTAGTATTGGTAAAAATAATTTGAAAGATGATACAATCATACATTCTGCAAGTATTGGCATAAAAAAGTCAATCATTTAAAAGTAGACACACTAGCCATTTGTTCAAAGCCAATGATCTCTTTCTGAAATGTTTCTGTCTCTCGTTCCCCTGCAGCAAAGCGACAGAGGAAGAAGTCATGGAGGACTCTCAGAGTGACAAAGAAGAACCTCTCACTCCAGAAGCATTTTCTCACTGCTGCTATGACTTTCCACCGCCCATCGATGAGGACTTTCTGGAGGAGGCGGACATGTTGGACAATCATCACAGCGATTCTCCACCTAGTCATGAAGTGGTTAATGCCACACAGGAAGAAGCTGATGATGCTTGTTTAGAGGAGATCAGAGACTTTTCAGAGCCACCAACGAAGGAGAGAGACAGTGATGAGGGAGAGGAACGAGAGGTATTCAAAGAAATAGAGAGTGAAAGTGAAGATATAGTAATGGAAATAAAAGAAAGTGATGAGAACTTAGTGGCAGAAACCCCTGAGAAAGGCAATGAAGTTGAGGAAATACTTGGAGAGAAGCTGCAGGGAGGTGACACAGAGCAAGGAAGTGATGTTTGTGGGGCAAGCAGCGAAATATGGGCTGAACTTGAGGACGTTATATGTGAAGGGATAGAGGATGTGGAGAGTACACAGGTGGAGGAGAAGGATGACAGAGAGAGTGTTTCTGGGGAAGGTGATGTGACTGAAGATGTGGAAGAGCAGGTAGCAGAGGTTTCAGAGGAAATGGTGGAAGTTGAGGAAGAAGAGACAAACAAGACAGAAGTCAGAGTAGAGGACGTTGAGGAAGAAGAGACAAACAAGACAGAAGTCAGAGTAGGGGAAGTTGAGGAAGAAGAGACAAACAAGACAGAAGTCAGAGTAGAGGACGTTGAGGAAGAAGAGACAAACAAGACAGAAGTCAGAGTAGAGGAAGTTGAGGAAGAAGAGACAAACAAGACAGAAGTCAGAGTAGAGGAAGTTGAGGAATCAATGGAGACGATTGAAGAAAAACTCCCAGACACAGAAGTGCAGCGAGAGATGGAGGAAGAAGAGACAAACGTACCGAAGACAAGTGAACCAGAAGAAGGAATTCAAGGGAAGCACGCCATCACTGCCGAAGATCAGCATCATAACGGGGAAGAAGTAACTTCGAAAGAGAACAATGAGAAAGCTGATGAGCAACGTCAAGTGCAACTATGCATAGATAAACATCTCAAAGCGCTTAAGTGTGATGTAGAGGTGAGTAGAGAGGGCAGGAAGGGTGAGGAAGGGGACAGCAGCTTAGGAGGAGTAGGAAGGAAGATCGTCATCTCTAGAAATCCGAAGGTTTACCAAGTGAAAGCGGTGCCGGTGGTGCCTCCGAAGCCTCAGCACTGCAGGGTCACTGCGCTGAACATCCGGCAGCAGCAGCAGCAGCAGCAGAGAGAGAAAAGAGACGCGGACAGAGAGAGAGAAAACGCATCCAGAGTCGCATCAGAGCAGGACGGTGCAGGAGACGGAGAGGAAGACAAAGGAGAGAAGACAACACAAGAGAGGGAGAAGAGGATGGAAGGGGATGAAAGTAGAAACAGTCCTCTCAGCATGTGTTTCGATGAGGCTGTTGCTATTGAGGCCATGAGGCGAGGGAAAGAGAAAGAGTGCGAGAAGGAGAAGGAGAGGCAGAAGGATTGGGGAAATGAGGTCCAGTGAAGTGTCTCTTTTGTGTTTCCACTGTACAAACTATTTTTCTACGTGTAGCATATATGGCTGTATTATTTTGAGTGGAGGTTTTGCCGCAGATGCAATGCTACTTAAGGGGGTTTTTGTGTTTTTGCTACCACACACAACTTGATAGGCAGGCAGGAACTTGTAGGTTTTTTTAAATATATACAGGATATTTTTCAGAGGAGGATTTTCAGAGAGTTAAGAAATGGGGATGATATGCAACAAAGGTAATTATATTGTCAAAAGCAAACAGAGATTACATTACAATTGTGCTGCTGACACTTGTTAACATATTACATGCACAACATTGCAGCTTATCTAGTTAAAATGTAGAAGTAGAAAAGAAAGATAATAAATAAAGCTCACTCTTTGTTTGCAGTTGTCGTCCAATTATACAATACATTGTATAGAGTAAATGAACGGTTTGCAAGTATACGGTTAAATTGTACATTTGGAAGAGTGAATGTATAATTCGTGAACGTTATAATGTCTGCTAAATACATTGTTAGGGATTATGTGAATAAAGATAATAGTTTCTAAGATGCTGTCTGTCATTATTATTATTCAAAGTGTCACTTTGTACTAAATAATGTACAGTCGAGGTATGATTAATATATTACAGGGATTTTCTTGCATCTGCAGAAAACTTCAGATCACATTGTTATTTATTAGTAGTATTATTAGGTAAATAATTCCGGTTTAGGGTTCAAGTAAAACACTTAAAGGTGGGGTATGTAATCTTGGAGAAACCAGCTCGAGTGCGCTAGAATTTGAAATTGGAAAAAATCTGCCTCTTCCTTCAGACTTCCTTACAGAGCCCCTCCTCCAACACACACGAACGCGCACATGACCAATGAGGGCACGAGATAAGTTTGTGCACAGATGGAAGGCTGACAGGCAGGTAGGCCATCCAGTTATCTTAGCCGGGCCGGCTCAGATGATTGGTCGTGCTTTTTACAGCGCCACGGCTTCCACAGATGACATTTTTTTATGTATTTATTGTCAAAGCATTTAATATATTCATTGCTATCGGGATGTCAAGAGCATTCCATGGAATATAACAAAAAGTGTTTCTGAAATAAATGACATACCCCACCTTTAAACAAATATATAGCGCGGCTATTTTGATTCACAATTATTTTCTGGTTTAGGATTTTTAAATTCAATGCAGGTTAATAATGGTCCCTTTTATTTAAATGTTTCTCTATGGATATATTTAACAAAAAGATGAATCATACACTTAACCAGAACATATTTCATATCCAGTACCTGCACTATTTTTACAAGGCTATTATTTAATCGTGTTTGTTTAGGAGGTAGAAGACGTAGGAAGAGACAGATTTGAGAGGATATGTAGTTCGCGTTTACTAGAAGAGTTACGACAGTTGCCATTTACGTCACATCCGCCTGGACATTTTCCCGGAAGTAAACCAAAATAAAACATCTGGCAAGGTACTTCGTCAAACAGCAGAAGCCCCAGCTTTTTTAATAAAGCTTGACATTTGCTTTTTCTTGCTTTTTATCGTACCTCTGCAGGATGTCTTTGCCCTCCTCTTTCGGTTCGCAGGTCTCCGCCATCATGGATATGTTGGCGAAAGCTGCAGTCACAGAAATAACGAAGCTGGTGGAGGAGGGGGGTGTTGTGTTGAGGCTGGAGATGTGTCGGAGGGACAGTGAGATCCAGGAGCTCAAGAGAACTTTAAAGCTGATGGAGGTGGAGCTCTGCAAAGCCCAAGAAGCAGTCAACATCCGGGCAATAATGGAGGAGAAACAGGAGCAAACAGCAGCCGGGAATCAGGTCCTTAGAACAGGTGAGCAACATCTGGAGAGACTCTCCACACCAAAGTTCATTCACAAAAACACAAATTCTGGTTTTGTGTTGCTATAAATAACAGTTATTGCTTGGTAAATCATATATTATGATTGGTAACGACGTCATGTGTTAGACTGTTAAATTCGGCTTGAATATGAATCTCATATTGGAATATAGTAAGTAGACTATTACAATAGATTGTAAGAAATACATGCATAATATAATGTGAAATGAAATTGTGAAAAAAGGTAAAAATGTCCAAGATGTTTGTGTCAAACTGTAGTTTTGTTGCTTTTATAGAGGCATCAACGTTTATATAATAACAACAAATAATAACGTTTACTATCATAACAGAGAGAAAAGTATTCTCTTTATCCAAAGAGAATACATTTATCACAATCAAAAAACAATATAAATTATTCTGGATCAATTAAAATAAACACTGAAATACTCCAGCAACAGAAATATAGACATATGCTACAGTAACAGAAACATATAGACATAGGATAGTATATAAATTGTAGTTGTGCAAGGTAGCTGTTGTGCAAATTGTTCGTGGTTATGGAGAGGGAGAAACTGAAACTATGAAGCAGTGAGTTGAGTTCTCTAAATATTCAAATGAAATAAACATATGAATGGTTATATAACATGGAATTCAGTAGACATCTTAGATTGTGTTTTCATTTGGTCTATAAACTGCCATTCTCAAAGTACAACATATTGGATAACGATGTTAGATGACAGACTTTTGAGATAAGGGCATCTGTTTGATTAATACAAATATCAAAAGAAATGTGAAAAAGGCTAAATGTGCATGATGTTTGTGTCAAACTTTAATATTTTTTGCTTTAATAGATGCACCAACATTTAAATAATAATAACACATAAAAACTTGTTTTGATATCTTGATTTGTAAAAAGCATGTACGTATTTTTCAGCGCTTCTATCCAGATGTTTTATACACAATTTGCACAAGTTTTACTGTTGACTTGCATTTGTGGAGTCAAATTCTACCTGTAATCTTTCTTTCAGTTGCAGACCAACAAGAACATCAGGAAGCATGTGGAGTGTATCTGAACCCAAAGTCGGCTCATTCCCTGTGCGAGACGGTACACGTAACAGAGAAGATCCATGACATGAAGCCAGCGGTGAAACACGAGCCAGCAGAAGAACCCTTCACCCAGGAAACAGAAAACACTTTAACAGCAGACATTTGCTTTGAGGCGCGAGAGCCAGATGACATGATGTGGCCTCCTCCTGCTTGCAGCATGTTTGATAAAAGCTCCGTTGCAATGCAGCAGAACATGCAGATTTCCCCCTCTGACAATGAGCAATATGCTGCTCACAGAAACACAGAAAGCTCCTATAACTCTTCAGCAACTGCAGCACAGGAAATCGCAGGTGGTTCTTTAAATGTGCCGATAAAATTAGAGGTAGAGACTCGACCTATGTGCATGGGAAGTACGGCTGTTCACAATGAGCAGTTCAGACATGCTCCACATCCTGCAGTCAGTCAGGATCCGTGTTTGGAGTCTGCTTCTCAACATGCCGGGCCGTCACTAGCTCCGCCTCATGCACAGAGGTCCCCAGCAGAGTGGCACATCCTCAATGTAAACAACCAAAGAGCAAAAAGGCTCATGAATGTTTGGAGAACGAATCAGAAACTGTTCATCTGCTCGGTGTGCAACAGGGGTTTCCCTCGCAAGTCTCAGCTAGAGGTGCACATGGCCTCCCACCAGACTTTTAAACCCTACCGGTGCCTCGAATGCGGGAAATCTTTCACCCAGAAGACCCGGCTGAAGACGCACCAAAGCGTGCACACGGGGGAGAGGCCGTTCAGCTGTAAGATCTGCGGCAAGATGTTTTCGAGGCAGGACAACTGCACGAGACACGAGCGGTTCCACAGCGGGCTGCGGCCCTACAGCTGCGGACAGTGTGGGAAGAGCTTCACGGTGCTGGGTAACCTCAGAATACATCAAGAGATCCACCTGCAAGGAAGATAGCGATCAGAAGACAATTTACATCTTGTACTTTGACAGTTTTAATGCATTTAATACAAACAATGTAAATGTTACATTTCAGGGTGGTCAAACCATTGGTGAGGAACATTATAATTAAACAATGTACTGCATATGTTTAGGTGCAGACTCATGATGTTGCCCAACCTAACCTGAAACACACCAAAGTCCCTCTGTTTCATAGTAAAAGGAGAGTGGGTGAGTGCCTATGCAATAACCATTTGTGTTTTTAATTAACGTAAATGAAATTCATATTGAGAGATTTTCTTTTTTTGTACATTAAATATCAATGTTCCCATTTATTTTTTTAAATGTTGCCTTCAAAGTTCAAACTTAAATTCTTTTTTTTCCCCTGCAGGATTTTTATATTTGTATACATACATTTAACTTCCTTGAGATTCTTGAAAGATTGTTAACTTGAGAGGAACATTTGGGTCTCGGATGTTTTTGAAAATAGACATGGAACATTGAAAATGCTTGAGTTTGTATATTTTGTGCAAGGATACAAATCTTTCTTTTACTTAAAGGTGGGGTAGGTAAGTTTGAGAAACCGGCTCGAGATACACTTTTTGTTATATTCCATGGAATGCTCTTAACATCCCGATAGCAATGAATATCTTAAGTGCTTTGACAAAAAATCCATAACAAAATTTCATCTGTGGAAGCCGTAGTACTGTAAAAAGCACGACCAATCATTTTAGCCGGCCCGGCTAAAATAACTGGATGGCCTACCTGCCTGTCAGCCTTCTATCTGTGCACAAACTTATCTCGTGCCCTCATTGGTCATGTGCGCGTTCGTGTGTGTTGGAGGAGGGGCTCTGTAAGGAAGTGGCAGATTTTTTACGGTTGTGTATTTTCAAATTCTAGCACACTCGAGCTGGTTTCTCCAAAATTACCTACCCCACCTTTAAAGGTAGGGTAGGTAATTCACTTCAGAAACAATTTTTGTTATATTCCATGGAATGCTCTTAACATCCGATAGCAATTAATACATTAAATGCTTTGACAATAAATATATACAAATGTTTCATCTGTGGAAGCCGTGGCGCTGTAAAAAGCTAGCTTGTGTGTGTTGGAGGAGGGGCTCTGTAAGGAAGTCTGAAGGAAGGGGCAGATTTTTTTCGGTTGTGTACTTTCAAATTCTAGCGCACTCGAGCTGGTTTCTCCATTCTTATCTACCCTACCTTTAACGTTAGTATAGGCTTCCTCCTGCTGTCTGCATGTGTCTCCTCGCAGTCACTTACACATTTTCTTCCATAAAGATTGTCTGTACTTTGATTTGTGTGTCAAACTATGCAATGTTGGGTGCATACACAGGGAATTGGGCCTTGAACGAACTTCAAAAGGCCTTCAGTTGGATGTTTTAGAAGGTGTTTTAACCCTGATGTAAAATAAATGTATATATTTCTTTCTTTCAAAAAATACTTTAAAAAATAAGTATATAAATATGTGTTTATGTATTATATGCCTGCTTATTTTTCCAAACGTGTTTGATTGTGTACCATGTTTGTACCTTGAATGTATTTATTATATGTTATACTTTGTTTAGATTTGTATGTTATGAGTTGAAGGAAATAATATTTTATTGGGAGATAAAGGAACTTTTTTAAAGTATGTTAGTGGTTCTCAAATTATTTGTAATAAAAGTTGTCTGAAACACACAATACTATCATTTATTTACTTTGTAGGGAACTGATGCTATGTCCTGTATTATACTATTTTTAAACATTTACGATATAGAATAGCGAGTGATAGAAATAACCTGATTTCTATGTGTTTGTGTATTTTAATACTTTTGTTGGTTTCAGTGTCTGACCTCGGAAGTGCCTCGGTAATATACGTTGCGCATCTCCGCCTGGTTTTACGGTATTTATGTCATCACTTCCGCAAAGCGAGAACTTGTGTTTATTCTTTGTAGCAATTAGCTGCTGCTGTTAGCTGCACATTTAAACCCTAAATAGCTGCCGTTTATATACGGTTATCTGCTTCAGAAATGGCCTGTTTCGGTTAGCCATCCCGACCTAATTACACTCACTTCTCTTGTTTCAACTTCAGGCTTCCCGGACACTTTGTCGGCTTGTTTTCTTTTTAAATCACAATGTTTACTAGCGTTGCTCTTCGGGCTCAGCTTGCCTCCATAATCGATGTCTTGTCCAAAGCAGCCGTGGCAGAGATCTCCAAAGTGGTGGAGGATGACATGGTGGTGGTGAGGCTGGAAATGTGTCAGCGGGAAAATGAGATCAAGAAGCTGAAGAGCAACATCCAGGTTCTGCACAGCGAGCTGAGGACCATGCAGGGGTGTGTGACCCAGAGACATGACACCCTGCAGGGGAGTGTGACCCAGAGACATGACACCCTGCAGGGGAGTGTGACCCTGAGACCTGACACCCTGAGACATGACACCCTGAGAGGAGACACCCAGAGAGGAGAGGGTAAATCACACAAAACACACTTTATTCACTGTGGTAACCTGGGATAAGAGGTGGGAGAAGTACTCAGATATTGTACTCAAGTAAAGGTTGAAGTACCAAAGTGTAGTCCTTTCAACTAACCTAGAACAGTGATGTGAAATCTGTTGACATATTAATCTTAATTAAAGTCAACGTTTCAGTTATTTCAGTGTGTATAGTGCAGAGGCTGGAGAAGTACTCTGATCTTGTACTTGAGTAAAAGTAGAAGTTCCAGAGTGTAGGAATACTCTGTTTACTCTGTAAGTAAAAGTCCTGCAATCAAAATGTTACTCAAGTTAAAGGAGAAAAGTATTAGCATCAAAATATACTTAAAGTACCAAAATAAAGTAGTCATTGTGCAGATTGCTCCATTTCAGAATAATATATATGATATGTTTTATAATGATTGATCATTAAAGTGTTCTCAAAGCTGGTAAAGGTGCAGCTAGTTTGAATGACTTTGTATACTGCAGGGTAGCTTGTGAATTTACTCCAGGTGGAACTAAAGTCTGATTTAACACTTGATTATATTTCACATCATTCATCCACATCTGTAAAAGTAACTAAATTACTAAAACGTAGTGGAGTAAAAGTAGCATAACATTGAAATACTCAACATTTCAGAGCCCAGAACTTTTTGATTTTAGCCTTTGCAGACCATTCACATGCACACAAACCTATATCACACACTAAAGGGAAGGGAAAACCCTGAAAGACTTTAAAACATTACAAGATTCAAGGCTTTTATTGTCATGTGTGCATAGCTACAGTGTAGTTATGACGATGAAATTCATAGGTCACAGGCTCCTCCAACAGTGCAACACAATAAAACAGATAAAATAGTGCAAGTAAATAAAATAGAATATAGTAGAACTAGTGCAGAATAGTCTATATACAAGTAATTGGAATATTGATATATATAAGTTGCAAACAATTTGACCTACCTCTTCAAAACTCAAAAATCATACGCTGTTCTGAATCTTTTTTTTGCCTTTCCACAGACAGTCATCATAACACTGGTGATGAGAGGACGTTGCTTGAAGAGGGGAACGCTCATAAGGACCAGAACAGCCCGTCTTCACCTGAAGTGGTGCAGGTGAAATGTGAACCAGTAAATGAAGGAGCTGGAGGACATCCTGAGCCTCTGAAAGGAGAACCAGCTGTGTTTGAAAGGGACAGTGCACCGTGGAGGCCGACAACACAAACAGGTTGCAACAACTCCGATTATTTGAACTCCTTACTGTGTATCCCCGGATCTTCTGTGGCGCCCGGCAGCAGCAGCTCGGGGGGGTTTCAGCAGAGCCCGTTCCTCCGCGGGCTGCAGAGTTACGGTCAGTATCGAAACTCGTTCAACACCATGAGGAGGAGGACGGGGAAGAGGATGGTACTCAAGAAAGGCTTCATCTGCTCGTACTGCGGGAAAAACTTTGAGCGGTCGGGACACCTGGAGAGACACAAGAGGATTCACACGGGCGAGAAACCGTACCACTGCGAGGTCTGCGGGAGGAGGTTCAACCAGAAGTGCAGCCTGAAGGAGCACATGAAGATCCATAGGAGATGTGAGGAGAATACCTGGTTGTCTTGCTGCAGGGAAAATCAACAAGTCCTTCCTTTTTCTTAACAACAACTGACAGAAATGTTATCTAAAGATTAAGGCAAAGCAATTTTATTGATGTAGCTGCTTTCAACACAAGGCCATTCAAAGTGCTTTACAAACAAGAAAAACATTAAGAGCATTTAGACATTGGAAACACATTATTATATCGCATTTAAAAACAGTCATTAAAAAGCAAAGAGAATACATTTAAAAAAGTATGTAGAATAACACAGGTATAAAATACATGAATACAAGTTACAGTGCAGTTTAAGATATGAATAGTTCAATTAAAATATTAGGTAAAAAAAAAGTTGTTATCTAAAAAGAGTGTTTGCACTAAATACAATATTGTCTTGAAAAACCTATTGAACATTTTCTTTTCGGATCATACGTGGTTCAAATGGGAATAGAAGACTTATTTAATTATTTGAAAGTCTGTATTACATAAAGACTTGATCTGATGCTTCCCTGGGAGGTTGAATAACAGTTAAAATATTTGTGGCTGACCTTAGAAATTGAAGTGGAGAAGCAATGGTTGCATCCCTTAAATTGACGTTCCTCCAAACCGCCCCGACACATTAGTCTCATGTTGTATTTTGTGTGTTATTTTAGACCCATGTTTTGGTTCAGTTCACAGCAGGAAGTCTCTGGCTGCGACATTCCTCTGTGTCACAGCGAGAAGAGAAAAACTCTGAGGTTTAGGCGAGAGCAGAGTGAAGAGTTACTCGCTGACAGCTCTGTCTTTGCTTCCCAGGGAAAAATGCATTGGGTAATAATTACAGGGGTCACTCAGTTTATGCTAACAGAACAGTAAGACAGGAGTGTTGTTATTGGCTCAGGAAAGTTCATAGCGAACCTCAGACAGAAACAAATGGCATGGTTTATATGTGAATCCATGGCTTTAACTGAAGATTATATTCATGATCCTTAAATCTGCAGTATATTGTCTCTGTTTATGAATTCATCGTTTGGTCTATACAATGTCAGAAAATAGTGAGAGTTATTTCAATGTGAATTAAGATCAGATCATTTTGGAGAACAGCAGGAAATCCCTTTTTTTTAAACTTTTGACAGTCTAGTATTTTAGTCTATGCATCGTTGTACTCTTCATAAAAGTGATATCAAATTAGGACGTTTTTATAAATATAAGGGGTTACATTTGGATAGCAACCTTTGCATGACCCTCATACTGTAACATTTGCACATCAAATTTGAAAATGTGTAACCGCAATGTTGAAAAGCTTACATTTTTAGATGTGGAAGCAAAACGTGCGCATGTTGACTTCTTCTCACTTCACCAGGTATTCTGCCGACACCAGAGGAGATCGATGTGAAGGAACACAAGCAGATTCCTGTGGTGAACCCATGTGCTGATCCTCTTCAAACCAAAGACGAGATCCAGGTGACATCTGAAAATGTCCTACCTAAGAACGAGGACATTCTCACAACACCTGTCAAATCTGAGCCTGCAGAGGAGCACACAGCACAAACACTGTTTCTTCATGGAGGAAACGAGAGGACGAGGGAAGGAGGAGACGACCTCAGTGAGAACTTCTCAGCTTTTGAGAGGGAGAGCCAGCAGTGGATGTCCAGCAGCGCAGAGATCAGCAGCTCCGAGTATCACAGCATGACTTCCTTCCCAGGGTTAGCTCAGTTACTGCCTCCACCCGTCGAGGCGTCTTGCAGCTCCTTCTCCTTTCCAGGGAAGCCGTATGGAGAACTCAAGAACAACATGGTGTCCCAAACACCTTACGCCTCCTCAGACTCGCTCATGATTCCAGGGGAAGGAGGGATGCATGGAGCCGCGCTGAATCACCAGAGAGGAAGCCGGCTGTTTCAGGTGATCAAACCAAAGAAGTGCTTCGTCTGCTCGTACTGCGGGAAGGACTTCGAGCGCGTCGGCCATCTTGACAGACATTTACGGATTCACACCGGGGAGAAGCCGTACGGGTGCCAGATCTGCGGGAGGTGCTTCAATCAGAAGAGCAGCCTGAAGGGCCACATGAAGACGCACAGGAACGGTAAGATGTTTGCCAAAAGTATTACAAAAGATTTAAAGGCTTTATCGTTGTATTTAATTATAGTATAACGTACCTGTCTATTACCTTTGTATTTTTTCATAATGCATAAATTGTCAGACTTCAGGCACACTTTTTATTTTCTGGAATCTTTCTTAAAGGTAGGGTAGGTAAGTTTGAGAAACCGGCTCGAGATACACTTTTTGTTATATTCCATGGAATGCTCTTAACATCCCGATAGCAATGAATATCTTAAGTGCTTTGACCAAAAATCCATAAAAAAATGTCATCTGTGGAAGCCGTAATAACTGGATGGCCTACCTGCCTGTCAGCCTTCCATCTGTGCACAAACTTATCTCGTGCCCTCATTGGTCATGTGCGCGTTCGTGTGTGTTGGAGGAGGGGCTCTGTAAGGAAGTGGCAGATTTTCTCCGGTTGTGTATTTTCAAATTCTAGCGATCTCGAGCCGGTTTCTCAAACTTACCTACCCCACCTTTAATTCCAAGTTACTATATTAAATGTGCTTGTTTGCACCAACACGCATTCAAATGCAACATTTTTTGTTTTAGTATATCATTGAAGAAAACAAATGTATCTACATTCCTAATATAATAGGGAAGATCAGTAAATATTCACATCTGGCATTTTTGACAAAAAGCAAAACAGTCAGTGACCAAAACATTGACTACCTCAACAAGTTATACACAGGTGATCCATTTAAAAAAAAAAAAATAAAAAAAAAAGTATTTAATTTTCATTGTATTCGGAGCCGTAACAGTCTTAAAAATAATGAAACCCATTTGAAAATATATTATAGATCGATATTTACACAGGTACCACTGCTGCAGATAAAATAATCTTTCATAAACTATTTGCTAATTACATTCTTCCGCTGTTTTTTCCTAAAAAGGGGAGAGCTCAGACATGCTGGAGCCACATCACCTGATGCTCACGATGCCTGACAATCAGCCGCTGAAGAACCTCGCAGAACCGAGAACCGGCCCGGCAGAACCAGAGGAACAAGAGCCGATCATCACGTACAGAGAGGCAGCCGGAGAGCAAACTGTGACGGTGAAGCTGGAGCCCAACGGGGAGGATTATCACCCTCTGAGTCAGGCAGGCAGTCACAACAGCACCGGAGCAACAGAGCAGAGCCAGCTGTGGACATCTGGGATGGAGCAGAGCAGTGATGAGGAACAAACTGTGTGTGTACTTCTGCGTGACAAGTATCACCTCAGTCCTGAGCAGCAGGAATACACTCCACAAATCAATGATCTGCCTTTTCTAGGCGCCAAAGAGAAGGGAGAGATGATGCACAATGATCAGTATTCAATGATGCATTCAAGGAACACTAACATGACTTTAGCTCCAGAGCTGCAGGATCAACACGTTGATCAAGAGGCTGTGAGTGAGTACACAGCCGTGAGGGACAGGGCTCAGGAGGGAGGTGTGTTTGAGTTTAATATCTCAGATAACTGTGGCGGAGACACGACCAGACAAAACTGCTTTATATGCTCCAGCTGTGGGCAGAGCTTTGATAGTTTCAGTCTGTTTCAGAGACACCCGTGTCAAAGTGCCACAGAGCAACCCTTCAGCTGCAACATATGTGGTAAAGTTTTCAATCAGATGAGCGTCCTGAAACTGCACCTGAAACTACATGTAGAATAACTTATAGTGTACACAACAAGCTTCATCACATTCATACGTAACAAATGGCACAAATTAGTAGGGCTGCCCCCGACTAAAGATTTTTCTAGTTGACCAATTATTAATTATAATATTAAAGATATTATTCATATCTGAATATCACAACCCAATGCAAACTGAAAATATGAGCGTCGGCAAAAATCCCTCATCATGAAGTGAAAGCTTTATCGTTTTCTGAGGTCAATGATTATATAAATAGGTCTATATATTATGTTGATATACAAACAACTATCATTTAAAAAGGACAGTATGATGTGTGCCTACTTTTTTCTACATGGTAATGAAATCCCTAACCCGTCCACTGCACTGTTACTCTTTTTATTGAAGTTTAAAGAGTGTTTACCGATCAATATTTGTCAATCCGACTGCCAATTGTATGATTTCTGTATCACTCAAGCACATTATACAGGCTGTTAGAACACGTTTGAAAAGATAAATATGTAATGTATTTTTTGTTATACATTTCAATCGAAGTGTGGAGTCTGGCACTCTAGTTATTTTGATGTTGAGCAGTGGAAATAAAGGATTTTTCTATGTCAAATCTTTCCTGAACAACTTCCTGGTCCTCACTCACAGTCATCATCCAAAAGTGTGTTTTATTTGATCCTCACTAAACCGAAAAGGACACAATATGGAGCCCTAATTTATATCATATTTCCATTTCCAGGCTTGGTTAATGTATAGAAGGGGTTACTGTATGATCATTTATTTTAAGGTGGACCGGTAAGGCTTAGCTTTCTTAAACTTCCTGAAAGGATTAATTGATTATCAAAATAGTTGTTTTGCACATCACCTTATTGATAACAAGAACTAATCCTTACAGCTCTAATTAAGACTTGGTAGTAGCTTTTGGTACGGAAATGTAAGGGGGAAAAGAACCACAAAGAAAAATGAAGGTCTACTTTTCGTGTGAACTTCTTTTTTTAATAGACCAGCACTTTGTGATATAAATGTACCTACCAGAGGGCAGAGCTAATATCATCCAAAATGTCAAGATATTCCTTCAAATCTAGGCTGTCCAGTTGTCCGCCATGTTAAGGTAAGTCACTTTTAAGTTTGACCTGAAACAGAACTACCTTATATAGACTGTATGCATTACATGAATGCACACTATGCAACAATATCTACTTTCCACTTTCGATAACAATACTGCACATATTTCTTTTTATATATTCTGAGAACTTTGCAAAGTTTTTTGGTATATCCAGATTTCCTGTAAGTAATTTTTTATATCTTAACGTATATTGTTAAAAAATATATATAGATTTTTATAATTGTTTCTTTACCTGTGTTTATGTATGCACCATGTACACCAAGGCAAATTCCTTGTACTGTATGTGTAAACCAGAGGTGGCAAGTAACTAAGTACATTTACTCAAGTACTGTACTTAAGTACAATACTACACAATACTTGTACTTTACTTGAGTATTTCAACGTTATGCTATTTAGTACTTCTCCACTTGCTCCTCTACAATTCAGAGGTAAATATTGTACTTTTACTCCACTACATTTATTTTGTACCTTTATTTACTTGTGATGATGTAATGATGTGAAATATAATCAACCAGACTTTAGTTACACCTGGAGTAAATTCACAAGCTACCCTGCAGTATACAAAGTCATTAAAGCTAGCTGCACCTTTACCAGCTTTGATGCATCAATAATTATAACCAGGACATATCATATATAATATTCTGAAATAGACCAATCTGCAGAATGACTACTTTTACTTTAGTAAGTTTATTTTGATGTTGATACTTTTCTCCTTTTACTTGAGTAACATTTTGAATGCAGGACTTTTACTGTAACAGAGTATTCCTACACTCTGGTACTTCTACTTTTACTCAAGTACAAGATCTGAGTACTTCTCCACCTCTGGTTCTTACACTGCCTTTTTTTTTGGTATCCCTCCGCGCCTCTCCTCGGGACTTTACGGTAGAGGTTCAGCCACACGGAAGCAAAGCTCCAGCTAGCTAAAACAGAGGGATGTAACATCTTAGTGCGTCGGTTGTTTTCGCATTTTTTTATAAAAACCATTGCGTTTAAAGACGTATTTGTTATATTTTACCATTACATATTACCTTGCATGAATCAGCATGGCGACGTGCATTCCCTTTCAAACCCAGTTATCCTCTATAATGGAGGTTTTGGTGAAAGCAGCAGTGGCAGAAATATCCAAACTAGTCGATGACAAATGTGCTTTTCTGCATCTGGAAATATCTCGAAAGCAAAACGAGAATGAGTTACTGAAGAGGAAATTACTATTGATGGAGAACAAGAGAGGTCAGCTGCAGCGGGGGTTTGGTGAGAGGCTCTATGACTAATAATGCTGCTAATTACTACTCCTGTAAACTCATGTATTATGCATATTAATGTAGTAGTATAACACATGATACACGCTTTATGATACAGTACAACTGAAGAGAAATAAGAACAAGGCACCTCTGTAGGATCGCTCTATCTTCTTACATTACTTACATATAAGTAATGATATAATTTAATGCAAATCCTCCAAAATTGTTTTTCATTTGACTTTGTTTTAATGTATTTTTCTTTACCTGCACCAGAAAACTACATGGACAGAGGAACTGATGTGCGGAGCTGTCCACATCCTACTGCAGATATTAAGGTCTGTGTTGTTTTCATATTTCTTGTTTTTGTCAACATTATTACTCAGTAATATCTGTGTAGATGTACATGAATCTCTGGGCCAAAAGCCACCAGGGGCCCCAAAAGCCCCCCGTTTTCCTATGTGGACAAATTCTTTTTTGGTTGTATTTCAATACCTTGGAATAATAAGGGCACAGTAGCAATGTTTTGCCCGGGTCTACCAAGTAGGAGGCCCAGCATTGTTGTCTTATGTCACCTGAGCAGCACTGACACTGGTGTGGAACATGCTTATCATGAATAAAAGCGGCTCCAAACTATAATTGTACATTAGCTAGGGCTGTGCAATTAATCGTATTTTAATCACGATTACGAAAACAACGTAATCGAAATAAAACGATTATTATTTTTTATTGTGTTTTCAGTTGAATTATACTTAAAGTTCAGGGTAATTAACTGTTAAAAACATACTGTTAATTTTTTTTTTAAATAAATGGATGTTTTCAAAGTAAATGGATAATTGTTTTTAATAATCGTGATATCAATTATTGACCAAAAATAATCTTGATTATGATTTTTGCCATAATCGAGCAGCCCTAACATTAGCTCTGGCTCTCACCAGTGGGTTCACTTTCTAGCAGCATTAAGGAGCTACAAATAAAATGTCCCAGAACTACAAACTGACTGGTTAAATAAGTGATTAGCTGCTGAACATATGGGCGATATAAGCACGTAACGTGCCAGATATTATCTTCAGTAATTGGTGTAGTGCAGAAAAGGAGATTATTGGATAATAATAATAATAATCAGGGCTGCAAATAAATGCTCATAAGATGACAAGATATAGGAAAGCGCACAAGATACCAATATATAGTGCAATAATAGAAACAAATAAATACAAGAAGTGTAAATACATGTTAACAATGTACAGTTTAAAAGATAAACAACAGTAAAAGCAGTGTCATGTTCCCTGAGGATTTTTATGTAGTAAGTATCCAAAGTAAATTAAGTTAGATAATGTTGAAGTGTGTCTGCTCCATTTATAAATAGTGTATAGTCCAACGTTTTCTAACATGTTCATCAAATCCATTTCATAAGGTTATTCAGGGTTCTTACGGTCATTAAAAACCTGGAAAAGTCATGGAAATTCAAAATGCTAATTCCAGGCCCTGGAAAAGTTATGGAAAACAATATTTTTCCCAAAGTTTTGGAAAAGTCATGGAAATTTAACTAAAGTTGCATCAAATATAATTTATATTTTATCTAATCGCCGAAATAGTAATACTATAATGATAATAAACACTGTATCGTATAGTAATGAAACGTAAAATGGCATTTAACTGACGAGGTATTTTGCTGGTGAGAGATTTGAGTTGCTTTAGCGTGTAGAAGCTAGTAAGCCTATTTGATTTGTTTTAGATAGGCACAACATGTTTCATATGCAGACCTTATTTTCCTGTTCCATGTTAAAATAAACCATTTTCAGTGGTAAGAGTAATTTTTTTTGGTCATGGAAAATTAGGTAAAGGTCATGGAGAAGTCATGGAAAAGTCATTGAAAATCATTGGTGAAAAAGTGTATGAACCCTGGTTATTACATGTTGTGTTTACAGCTTAATTAAAGTTGAAGCCATCCTCTCTTTATCTAGTTTCCTGATATTGACGAAGCCACAGTTTCGTTCACGATTAAAGAAGAAAGTCCAGATGAGATGCTGTGGATCAGTGAATCTGCAAGGCCGATTGGTGAGTTAAAGAATTGGATTTTGTTAAAGAATTAAATCCAAAAATAATCATTAATGCTCACATTATTCACACAATCCCTCATGAGTTTTCCTTTCATTTGCAGGTTCTGCTGGTCAATACCGCCGTCCAGCTAACGCTCCAGAGAGTCAGTTAAACCTCTCAGAGGGCGGCACAAGAAAATCATCAGAGTTCAGTGACTTGTATAACTCTGCAGCGCATGCAGGAGACATCAGTGGCCTTCAGTTCACGGTGAAGACGGAGAAGCAGGAGGACCGCTCAGGATTTAGTCAGGACGGGTGCCAGCACGGCGCAGCCAAGCAGATTCCACTTGCCGCTGACTTTTCCTTGGATGAGAGAGACTCCCAGCTCTGGTCCTCCATCATTGAAGGCGACGACATTGATGCAGGTTTCCCTGACTTTTCTAGTGTGGTAGAGGAATACTCCAACACCTTTCCGGACCATTCTGATGTGGGTTCGACCAAGGCTGCTAGCACTCAGAGGCCGTGTAATGGGATGTACAACAGTGAGTTTCAGAAGGATGGTCCACAGTCGTCCGGTTTTCAACCCAGACCTCAGGGAGGTCCGCAGAGAAACCCCTCAAATCCGGATGAACACTCGGATAGGGAGAGTGCCGCCTCAGATAGACCGGTCGTAAGTCACTCTCACGTCCAAACAGGCAGCTTCCACCCTCCCTCCTCCCACAGATCTTTCTCCGGATCGACTCGGGGATTCTCCTGCTCGCACTGCGGGAAGACCTTCGGCCGTCTGCACCAGTTCAAGCTGCACCAGCAAAGCCACAAGAGGAAGCGCACGTTCTGGTGCACGGTGTGTGGGAAGAGCTTCCAGTGCTCGTCCCACCTCAACATCCACCACCGGACACACACGGGCGAGAAGCCGTACGGCTGCGGTCAGTGTGGGAAGAGGTTCACGCAGCAGAGCAGCCTGAGGGTCCACCAGCGCACACACAGCGGGGAGCGGCCCTACAGCTGCTCGCTCTGCGGGAAGACATTCATCCTGATGCACCATTTGAAACGCCACAGAATCATCCACACATACAGCTGAGGTGGAGCCACGTATCGAGTGGTGCAGGAATGAGTCCTAAAACCTGGAAATGAGTTGTTCACCACTTCTGGTTCTCTCCACCTGTAATCAACGTTTTTTGATCGTATTTGGGGTTATATGGCTGAAATAAGTTCCGTGGTTAACACAAGCTAACACAAGATTTTCACGTTTTGTTCTACGACATAATATAAGTCAGATAACACCCAGCTGGTAAACGTCTGAAGCTTTTACGTGACTTAAGAACAGCAGGTGCTAACAAGTGGCTAAGTGAGACTGCTAACATCATGACACCGAACATTAGCCACCTTTAGCTTAGCGGTGGTGACTCGAAGTCATGGGACAGTGATGTAGTTCCTTTATAGCTTAAAGTTAGCTCTTTATTTCTGGCAATTGCCTTTACACTTAAATAAAAAACAAATAAAGTGGAGGTAATATGTGCAGATTATCCTGCTGACCGAAAAGTGTAGGTATCATAAACGTGTGTTTGCCATAGACCCTTTTTTCGGCAATATTTCGAAACCCAATGTAAACATTTGAATTTAAAACTTCCGGTTTGTTCTACAAAACTACGTCATCACTGCGCCACTCTCAGCTGATGTTGCTCAGGTGAAATGAGACTGGAATGAACCCTAAAACCAAACCAAAGAGCCCGCTTCTTTGGTTGGGATTTTAACTTCTGACATTGCTCACAGACTTTGTATATTAATGCATATTCTACTATGCAAAATCCTTCTGGATGGATTTTAAAGATGTTTGCTTGTTTTCTAAAATACTTATAATTATTAAAGTTGCACCCTCAAACAGAATTCACACAAGTCAATATTTCAAAGGCACCTGCAAAGCTAGAAATCCCAAAAAACAACGTCTGAAATATAGAGTGACATATAAAATAAACCTGCAGATTTCCTGTTACAGTAACAAGTGTACTGATCTTCACAGTTTGTCTTTTCTCCTCATGTAGAAATATGCCTTACTTCTTCCAGCACTGAAACTGTAGAAGCACAACATGCTCAACATCGTCCCATAAACTCTCCCCAGTGAAACCTGTGAGAACCTCTCAAGTTTTATGATTTGATGTAAAAAAAACAACCTGCCTGTCTATTGAACTGCATTTTCCATAAAACGTATCCTGAAAATGAATTACCCTTTGTTATGATTTATATATTTAAATCAGAAGCTGGGGTTTCTTCACCGTTTTTCATTCTCAGGTAATTTTGTTCTTGTTTACTATCATTCACTTTAAAAACCAGGGCTGAAACCAACAATTATTGATTAAAGGTGGGGTAGGTAAGTTTGAGAAACCGGCTCGAGATACACTTTTTGTTATATTCCATGGAATGCTCTTAACATCCCGATAGCAATGAATATTTTAAGTGCTTTGACAAAAAATCCATAAAATGTCATCTGTGGAAGCCGTAATACTGTAAAAAGCACGACCAATCATTTTAGCCGGCCCGGCTAAAATAACTGGATGGCCTACCTGCCTGTCAGCCTTCCATCTGTGCACAAACTTATCTCGTGCCCTCATTGGTCATGTGCGCGTTCGTGTGTGTTGGAGGAGGGGCTCTGTAAAGAAGTGGCAGATTTTTTCCGGCTGTGTATTTTCAAATTCTAGCGATCTTGAGCTGGTTTCTCCAAAATTACCTACCCCACCTTTAAATTCTTAACCGTTTAAATAATTACTGTTACTTTTTTGGTCTATTTAATTCCTAAAAGGAGTCAAATTACAGTTTTCTAATTTAAGACATTATTTTAAGATTAATCGCTTTTTTTGACCAGTGGCATAAAAGCCAAATATGTTAAAATATCAATGAAGGAAAATAAATCCTCAACGTTGGATCCAGGAAATGACTTGCGTTCCATCTGATAAAAAACATGAATTGATAAGAATTGTTTATGAGTTATTTAATAACAATTGACTAATTTTGACTGACTGTTTCACCATTTCTGAATTCACATCTTCTGTGAAGCCTGTAGTTTTGTCACTTTGGTCCATGAAATGACACCAGAGGGCAGTGTTACCTATTCTTAAAAACATCACAGTGCAAAGAGGGAACTACAGCTGTCTGAACGTGAACTTCACACTTCTAAGTTCCCCTTCACTGCAAAGATAAAAGAAGCATCCTGACTGATCCTCAATAGTTTGACAGCCTTTACGATATTTACTGCCAAAAACACATTTTAGAGTGCATCGATAACTACCGATTTCTTGCATGTTATCCTAAATTCCTTTCAAAAAATATACCTGTATTGCTTGGTATGTTATGCTTTTTTTCTTGCAACCAGTCGCTGGAGAATTGGGTTGGTTAGTTTAAAGGTTTTCCCTTCCCTGTAGTGTGTGTGATATAGCTTTTGTGCACGTTAGTAATCTGCAAAGGCTAAAATCCCTGGGTTTCCTACAGAGGGAGTTTCTCTCCCACACACTTCCCCATCTGTAACCCTCCCGCTAACCAATCAGAGCAGCCTGGCCTCTGGTTTCAGACAGAGGGTGAAAAGAGTTTCTGCAGCACATGAGAAAAATAAAGATCTTTTTGAGACATGTCACAGTAGAGACATAACATACAAATATGACCATGAAAATGACAATTATAGGGCCCCTTTAATGTGTGTTGATGTTGAAGCAGGCGTAGGGATCATACAGATGAGAGATCATCGTCTTCCTGTTTGGCCAAAGATTTTAAAAGTGCCAGCTTTGTAGGCCAGGATGCTCTGTTCGTCTGCACACTATCTGTTTCTAAAGGAACCTGTTGTGTCTTGTTCTAGTTCACGTGTTTGAGATACTTTTCATGTTCATGTGGTTGAATCTGTATTGCTTTATCTGGTGTTGACTGAGTGGCTCAGGTAGTTAATTTGCAATATAAACACTGTTCAGGAACAGTCTGTCCTACAGTAACGCTCGGTGCCAGAGGTGCTTCCTGTTTCATAGACGATTGAGGGTGTGACAGGTGAACTGTAACCATCTGGTGTAAAGAGTGTCAGTGCTAGTATATACAGTACAGAGCTATTTCAAGGTGTTGGAGGGAGAAGTTGACGTCTGGAAATGAATGATTTCCCCTCATGAACACTGAGGGTTATTCTTTTGTTTTTAATTTCTCTTATTTCTTCTTCTTCTTTTTACAAAATTAGTAGAAGCAGGAGGGCAGGGGTTTCTGCTCAGTCCACACATAGTTTTCCTTTCCCCTTAGGTGCACGAGTGACTGGACCCTACACTCTTCCATAAGTGGGTCAAAAAGGACCCGTATTAGAATAATAATAATTGTTGTGCCATTTTTGGTTAAGAAATATCACTTGTATTATATTTTGGTTCACACTAGAAATATTTTATATTTAATTTTTCACTATTTATAATTTTAGAATTTCTTTTTACATTTTTAAAAAAAAAACGAAATTCCATAGAAAATGCATGCGTGTCATTTTTGACCCATGGAAGCTTGGGGTAGTAATACGAAAACTACAATTTCTTAAAATTTATAAAATGTCAATTTAAAATGTGAATAGCATGATATCCAAAACATGTTTTTTGAGGAATAGCTGGAATATGAAATGATAAAAAAATGTAATTACAAAGATACTCTAAGGAAACCACCTCACCGGGTCAAAAAAGACCCACTTATGCATCTAAGGGTTAAATGCAGTAGGTGTTAGTTTTAATAATAATTGTGTAAGGAAAACATACCTGCTCCATCCTCAATCATTTGGCAGATCAATGTGTTGTTTTACCCTAAAATACAGGACATACATGTTATATTGTATTCACGTTGGATACTTCCAAACACACATGTATCAGAAATTGTACATTTATATTGACTGTTTGTCATCTCACATTTTATCTCCCTAAGAGGTTAGACTTTATTGTCAGCCTATACAAGCAACTTTGCAAACATACACTACCTCCTTCATTACACATAATGTGCGTACCTTTAAACACACCTTAACCTAAGTATAGTGTGCGGGTGTGTAGCCATAAATCTAACCTGTAGAACCAGAAGGGGAACTTGTTGATGTATTGCTAGCGTGATGTGTTCTAACTTTACGTACGTACTGCCTGTTTCTGCTGCACTGCTTCAGTAGGTTTTGTGCAAACACCTGGACCTGCTGCAGGGAGACAGACAGCTCAAATCATTCTCATGACCTTGTATGGCCATAAACACGGGTGACTGAGCGTCATGGAAAATGTCTTTTTAGAGGAGGAGGTTCAGGAGGAGGAGGAGGAATGGGATCTAGGAAGTAGAAATGTTTTAGGTTAGAATGTGGGAACATAGATCCGATTATCTTGTTATTGAATCCAGTGGAGGACCATTTCATTGGTGTATTATCTCTCTTACTGTGTACAAACATTCATTATGAGACTTAGACTTTGCAGGCTGAATAACAGACTACAGGAAAGGGAAAACCCGAAAAGCATAATAGGGCCTCTTTAATCATAGAGTATGCGTTAAACAGCTGACAGTATCTGGACACTCGTGCTTCTTGTTGGTCTTTGGCTGTTTCTGATGTTTTTGACAAGGTCCAATTAGTGTGTGGTTATTTCATGAAATAAATATTTATTTCATAAAATGCACCATATAGTAAAATGAATTATGTGTTGTTATTAGATTTGACACTTCTCAGTAAGACAGGGCTTAGGTTCTCCTGTGAGTTTAGATTTGCTTGACATCGATTACCAGTTATATGGTGGCTTTAAAAAAACAAACTGCATAAGGGGAAGTAAAAAACAAATGTAACAAACGGTAAATGAGGCAAGCGAAAGTCGTTATGACTGAGAGTCCTCTTTAGGGGAAATAGCTCAACACATCCCACCAACCTCCAAAACCACAAATGAGCAGAGAAATAAAACACCTTAGAGTTTAAAACAAAGCACACATGAAAAGGTTGAGTTGAGTCATTTTACTGTAAAAGTAGATCCACAATTTGTACAGTTTTTAGTAAAGTACCTCTTAAAGCAGAACATCCCAGTGTGCTAACACAGTGATAAGACATGGAGGAAGATTTGTATCAAATAAACATACTTTAGTAACGGTCCAATAATCCCTTTCTTCAACTGTTCATCAAACTCTTGATATATAATCAAAGCCATTTCAAAACAAAACACTTAAATATTATTAGTATAAATATTTTAGAACATCTTAAACTTCTTTTACAATTATTATTTCCACCTTTTAGCCTGAAGACATGTGTGATGAGCTCAACATCAAATAATGGGAACATCACTGTACTCGTGTTGGGGAATGTAAAAGATCTGAACAATAAATATGTCATTTTAAGTTATTTCTTTAGAAAAAGTACAATACAATGTCGTTTCACTGAAACACTCTGAATACAGTATAATAAATCACAAGCAGGAATTTGCTGTAGGAGAATGACTGTGTATCGTTTATATGTACACCTTTAAAATGTAAACGTTGCTGAAGGAGGAGTGTATAAGAATGGAGTAACAGTTTCTAGGATTTTAAGACTTAAAGCAGGGGTGTCCAAACTACGGCCCGCGGACCATTTTGAATCGGCCCTCACTCAGCAAATTAAAAAAGTATAATGACTTAAGTACAATAAACTTCTGCTTGTCTTATATTATACTTCTTAAATAAATATGTTCAAATATATTACACAGTATTCATGTGTTAATAGGCCCAATTTTCAAATAAATTCAGTCAATTCAAGTTCAAAATATGTTCTAACAAATCTAAGTTGATAAGAAAAAAGCCCAATAACAAAATTACATAACTACCCTCCATATTTCCTCTTCTTATCAGCAATCTGAAGCTCCTGTTTTAAGGAATGAGCTGCCAACATAATAAATGAAACCCCATGAAGAGCTGTGAGCTGTTTTTTTCTTACAGCATTTTCAAGTATCAAGAATAATTTACCAACTTATAACTTAAAGGTGGGGTAGGTAAGTTTGAGAAACCGGCTCGAGATCGCTAGAATTTGAAAATACACAACCGGAAAAAATCTACCACTTCCTTACAGAGCCCCTCCTCCAACACACACGAACGCGCACATGACCAATGAGGGCACGAGATAAGTTTGTGCACAGATGGAAGGCTGACAGGCAGGTAGGCCATCTAGTTATTTTAGCCGGGTCGGCTAAAATGATTGGTCGTGCTTTTTACAGTATTACGGCTTCCACTGATTACATTTTTTATGGATTTTTGTCAAAGCTCTTAAGATATTCATTGCTATCGGGATGTTAAGACAAAAAGTGTATCTCGAGCCGGTTTCTCAAACTTACCTACACCTTTAACTTATGAGGCAAAATACCTCACCTCTAGTGAGTGGCCCAGCCCTTCGTATATTTTTCTGTATGTGGCCCACGGTGAAAAAGGTTTGGACACCCCTGACTTAAAGTAACAGTCAGTGAAATAGCAACTAGTTTATCAAGTAGTAAACCCAAACAGTTTTTGTTCGTTCTACAGTAACAAGCATTTTAAAATAACCTCTCGCCGAGCCCAACAGCTGATCTAGGACGAGTTAAAGTGATGAAGTTGGGAATGTGTTCAGGAGGAGTCGTTGTTGTTGTGCTCCAGCCGGCCGACCATGGTGGTCACCAGCTTCTCCAGCTGCTCCGCCCGCAGCCGGCCCGTCTCCAGCACCTCCTCGTGGTTGGCCTTCTCCTTGCTGTCGTAGTCCATCACCGCCCGGTTGCTGATCAGCGACAGGGCGAAGCAGCGCATCCCGGCGTGACGCGCAACGATGACCTCGTGCGCGGTGCTCATCCCTGAGAGAAGAGAGAGAGGAGGTGAGGCGTTGTAAAGATCTCTGAGTGTTCTTCAAATAGGGGCAGCAGAAGCTCAGGCTGTAGGGATTTGGCATGGGATCAGGAGGGTTCAAGATCCAAACCGGACCAAGTACTGAGTGTGGACTGGGACAATAAGAGGTACCAGTTTGTCTCCTTCACACACCCCTAACTAGTAGATAAAGCTGCCCACTGCTCCTAATACTGTGTGCCGTGCCGTGTAGATGCGTTTGATGATATAATAATAAAGCTTTATTTATATAGCACCTTTCATACAACACGTGCAGCTCAAAGTGCTTTACAAACAACAAGAAATTCCCCTCAGATTATTTGTTAAGAACTTTACAGGTACATGCAGCAAAATATAAAATGTATGATAATACAAATAAAATAAATAATGTTATTATTATAATTAATTAGTTTCTTCCTTTTCTATTTCCAAATGTTTAGTCTGTCCCTCTTAATGAGCCAGCAAGACACACAGATGTTACATTACAAAACTTGGGTTTAAATATATACATTTGCAAACCATCAGAGATTTTGCCATACTTTTAATGACAAGGTAGTTATTCCTCTATATACTGTATATCTCAGTGTATTTCTTATGTAAGAAAATAAACAAGCTATTTTGTCGCAATATTGGGCTAGACACATCCTGCCTCAGCAGTAATGTTGCATTATAAAAACGTTGAAGTTACTTAAAGCTGAGATTTGTAACCATCCTGTGACTCATTTTCTGGTAATGACACAAAGGACTGCGTCAGGCAGCCATTTCTTCAGGACATCTGACCTATGCGACAGTTATTTAACAATAACTGAGGTGAGTGTGTCATATTGTGTAACAGAAAAAAACCCAAACAAACTAACCGGTTGAGGTTAAACTATTTTGCAACTTATAAATCATTGTTTTTGTAAATGAAGTCTGGTGGCTTTGAAGAGAGCATAGATGACGGATGAGTCAAAAAGGGCTTTGTGATGAAGAACAGTTGAAAATATTTTAAATAAATTGTACACTTAATCTGTTTTGGTGCCCCCTTTAAAGCTTCCTAATACTTAGCTTTCAAGGTCTTTTTCTCCTTATTACCCTAACTCACAGAAAGTACTCTCTCTTAAAGCAAGTAAATGCAATGGTTGAGGTAAGGGTCCTCTCTTAAAGGTGTGTGTGTAAAGCAGACTTGGTTCTTACCGACAGCATCAGCACCCAGCTTGTGCAGCATGCGACACTCAGCGATGGTTTCGAAGGACGGACCCCCCACGACGCAGTACACCCCCTCCCTGAAGAAGTCGTTGTAGCCCAGCTCTGAGGCCACGTCGAGGGCCATCTGCCGCAGCTTTCGGTCGTAAGCGTCAGACATGCAGGGGAAGCGGACCCCAAACCTGAAGGAGGACAGAATTGACTGTAGGAATCCACACAACTGGGCCATTCACCACTGAAACCCCCCCCCCCAAATGACTCAGGTAAAAAGCAGCACACTACATTTCTGAGACCGGTGAATGTCTTAAAGGAAAGACTTGTGAACACTATGCAGGGAAGATTTGTAATATTGAGACAGAGTACTCCTGTTGTTCATGGATGCAAACAAAGTATACGTCTCTTGCAATGATGCTTTGATGCTTCTGCTCTGAAGTTCTGTTAGACAGTAGCAATCCACAACTGGGCCATTCAGTACTGAAACCCCCCCCAATGACTCAGGTAAAAAGCAGCACACTAAGTTTCTCATATTGGTGAATGACCAACACTCTGTAGGGACGATTTGTAATATTAAAAGAGAGGTAAACTCCTGTTGTTGACGTTCAATGATGCTTTGATGCTTATGCTCTGAAGTTCTGTTAGACAGTTTTCAGCCTTTGAGAACAATGGCAGTCTTTGTGCCCTCTGACATCAGCTCGATGCCACAACAGTGCTCAAGTGTGGCAGTCTTGTGTGGGAGACTGGAAATATGCTGATAAAATATGGAGGGGGAGGGCATAACTGTATCCTGCTGAGTCATTCGAACACTGAATGAGCTGCTAATGCTTGCTTGAAATTGCTAGAAGACTCAGGGAGTTTTTTATGCAAAAGATTTCCTGGCCTCTTTGAGCTGATGACTGGCAGATGATTTTTTTTAAATGTCATTTTTTACATCTTCCAGCCATAAATAAAGAAAAATACTCTAAAAATGGTTTTGTAATACTGATGATCAGACTCTACATTAGCTAGTCTGTTTCAGGCAGGAGGGTAAGATTTCCATTTGGATTAGGTTGTTTCCAGTGTTACAAAATGATGCAATTGATGGAAAAATAATACTCTTTGTTCACATTTTGTTAGTGGCAGGATAGTCTATTATAGAGTTTTCTAACTGTATTTGTATATTTATATTATGTATTATTTGGTATAGATAATCTACATATATTTATTTTCTACTGTTATTATTTTTCAACTTGGTTTCTACATGATGTGCAATGCCTTGTTTACATGCTGCTGTGACAAAACACTTTCACAAATTAGGGTCAATAAAGTAAATCTAATCTAATCTAAAATACTGGTTGTAAATACCGACCCCTCCCTCTCCTCCACCTACCGGTCGTCATTGGGCCCGACCAGCGGGTTGTTCCCAGCGAACCCCGGCATGTTGATGTGGTCCTTCATGATCATGACGTCCCCCACCTTGTAGTCCTGGTTCAGGCCCCCTGCTGCGTTCGTCAGGAAGACGGTCTCCACGCCCATCAGCTTGAAGACCCGCATGGGCAGCGTGATCTGAGGAACACGAGGTAATGTGAACACATGCACTCACTACAGTGACCCACCATCACCGCAGCAAGAAGACCAAGACCCCCAGGGCGCAGGGACAGTTTTATCCCACAAGCTTTACCACTGTTTCATTCCTGATCTCAGTACTAATAATAATAATAACTTACATTTATATAGCGCCTTTCAGGGGACCCAAGGTCGCTTAGTGAAGTGTCATGACATATGTTGATAGCATTGTTTACAGTCCATATATTCATATATTATTACAATAAGCAGTATTTTATTCCTCTGCAAGTCATCTTATTCTATTTTACATGTACTGTATATAGTTTACCTAATACTGCATTTTTCTCTTACACTTGTGGCACTATTTTCTTATTTTCTTATATCTTAGGTATATTGTTTGTTGCACTGTTGGATTTTGAATGCCATCATCTCTTCTACGCAGTAACTTTTGTAACTATCACAATATCCTATTCATTTGTGCAGAAGTCAGCATTAGGGTTGTAACGCTGCAATGTATGAAACATCGATTAAAACAAAGATAGGGATATGGAAATAGAAATGCGAATGCAAAATGCGTATTCCTGGAACATCTGTTTTCTGTTTCTAAATCTGCAAGTCAAGCAGTCGACAGTACGCAGAATTTTACAGATGATCTCTGGGAAATCTCACATAAAATAACCCATACACAGAATATCTAGATTAAGTAAAACTAAATCAAACAAATTAGATAAAAGGCAGGATATGTTAACTACATTTAAATAGCCAATTTATTTAAATGGTGTGAAATAAGGAGTAGTCTGTAAAATCAAATCAAATCAAATCAAGGTTTATTTATAAAGCACATTTAAAAGCGATTTTTGATCGGGCCAAAGTGCTGTAAAACTGACATAGAGTTTTGATACAAGGATTTAAATGACCAAAATGATCAATGTGTCCTTTGAGGGACATGTGTTCAGTACAAGATTCGTGGTACTTCATACTTGACTTGAGTATAATGATTTACATTACTTTATACCTCTACTCCACTATATTTCATAGGGAAAAAATAGGTAAGAAACAACATATGATTAATTTAAACACTATAATTAGTTAAATACTGAACCAGTGGCTGGTCTGGGAGTTTTTTAGATTTTTCCCTCAATTCTTTTCCGATTCAATAACTGTTTGAATCCCAAATAAATGCAATATTTCACCTAACAATATCAAAGATAATTTAAAAGTCCAAAATATTATTATTAATTTGCATTGCAGAACATTCGTTTTTCTTCCTTTCTCCCCCATTCATCACCTCACCACCCCTATTTTGTGCCTCTTTCGTGGGGTTGGAAACCACTGGACTGCCGAACTTTCCATTTTAAAATGTGCTCAACAAGTTATTTTGCTTCTGATGCTTTTAGTACATGTAGATCAAAAATGATTCTGTCTTTTACTTCAGGAAGCTGTTTTAAATGACATACTTGTAAAGTATTAGTGTACTTGGTGTGTAAAAAACAAACTCACCTTCTGGATGGGGTATCCCTCGTACAGGTGGAAGCGACCCTGCATGCAAACACACGGCTTTCCTTTCAGCGTTCCAAACACCAGGCGGCCAGCATGACCATGCACTGTAACACACACACACACACACACACACACACACACACACACACACACACACACACACACACAACACACACACACACACACACACACACACACACACACACACACACACACACACACACACACACACACACACACACACACACACACACACACACACACACACACACACACACACACACACACAGTTAGTGACCAATCCAATGCTTTTACTTGGAGCTCGCAAAACAACACACACACATGAGAGTACCAGCTGTGCATACCTGTGCTCTTGGGAAAGTTGGGAATGTCGCAGTACTTGAAGTACTGCGGGTCCTTCAGCATCTCAGCCAGCCCCCCCAGGCCTGAGCCGCACACGATCCCCACAGTCGGCCGCACCTGCGTGTTGGACAGCAGCCAATCAGCTGTCGCCCGGCACTCTTCATAGCTCTCACTGAGGGAGGCAGAAAAACAAAGGTAATTTACTAATGTACTAAACCTTTTTTATCAACTAAGCTTGAGCAGTTTTTCAACACATGAGACTGACATTGGAGGTTGTGTGTGTGTGTGTGTGTGTGTGTGTGTGTGTGTGTGTGTGTGTGTGTGTGTGTGTGTGTGTGTGTGTGTGTGTGTGTGTGTGTGTGTGTGTGTGTGTGTGTGTGTGTGTGTGTGTGTGTGTGTGTGTGTGTGTGTGTGTGTGTGAATGCCTGGATGCATGCATGAAGATTTGGTGAATGTTCTGTCATTTTCACACACCTACATGTTCAAAAGTATGTGGACATCTGGCTTCAGGCTGTGTTTGAATTCATCCCTCAGGCATGGGATTGGGTGGAGGTTTTACAGCATGTACTTTTTCTTATTTTAACCAATTATTATCATATAATAACATCAACACTTTGTCCCAAAATACTTAATTATACCTTACAAACAGACAATACATATACTTACTGGAAGTGGCTATATTTCCTCACGTACCACACGTAACACAAGTAAATACATGTTGTGTGTGTGGTGTTAAATGTCCTGTGAAGCATTATTGTGCAAACAATGTGTGACGCTCAGGTGATGAACACGGGACCTGAACACACCTCCACGATGAAAACAGTCTGCAGAATTTCTCAAACACTCAACTGTCATGTACATAAGAGAAGTGTTTCCGCTAATTCAGGTTTAGCAATAATTTATATTAAGAAAGTTAATCAAATGTTAAGAGAATATTAGTGAAGTGCATTTCTGGCATTCTTTACCGCAATTTCTTGTTGTTTATAAGCTTTAATATACACAATACAAATAAATGCAACAATTTTTAAAGCAAAAATGCCAAATGATTCCCAGTTTAAGCATCTCTGTTGCAGATTTCACTTTTTTGTTTATCTTATATGTGATAATAAACTGAAACTGGGGTTTTGAGTGCTTGAGTTTGCAAACATAATAAGATGCACTAAGTTGTAAAAATTGAGCAAATAAATAACCATTATTACTAAATATTAATAAAAGTATTATGAAGCAGCCAAATAAAATAAAAACATTTAGGAGAAATATAAATATACACACAAGGTAATACAATACGACAATTTAATAATATAAATAAAATATGTGCAGTATATCGTGCGTGAAAGGCGCTTTATAAATTCCATTTATTATTATTATTATTATTATTATTATTATTATTATTATTATTATTATTATTATTATTATTATTATTATTATTATTATTATATCAGAATTTAAAGTGGAAGAGCTGTGACGTTTTTAAAGAGGATAAATGTGCAACATATACAGAGTGTGTAATGTTTACAGTATGGGTGTGGAAAGCGATAATGTAACGCAGAGTCAAAAGAGTCTGTTCCAGTGGGGCTCCTGAGCTTTGTTTATTATAATGCTATTTTAATGAAACCTCTCAGTTTGTGTCTTTATCTTATTTTGAATGTGTTCTAGTCAGCGGAACTGGAATCACAATGGCAGCCTGTCTCAGTTGTGTGTCATTGTGCAGCTGGACATAATGTGGCTTGGTCATTCCGCTGAGGTGCACAAATAAAAGTCAAAGCAGCACAAACCGCGACCCCTCTCAGTGAGTAATAATGGGGGGGGGGGGGGTTTGGAAATGACGTCACGGTGGAGCGCATGTGCAAAGTGTGGGTTGTTCCGTCCTGTCTATGAGCTCAGACTTCCGCGCTATTATTGCGTTACTACTTCATAATAGCACGATTTAACTCTGGAGCGGAAACTAATCACTTCCGCTTGGTCTAAGACAAATACAATTATTGAGGAGATATAGAAATATTATTCCCAGGAGCGTGAGCGAGTCATCCCGCGCGCTTCTCATGCTTTTTTTAATAAGAAGTTTGGGTACATATCCTGTCTGTTTCTTTAGGGATTTGGCAGAAATGTAGCTTTTAGTGATTCATTGAAGTATTTACAGTCTCCACATGTAACCCCCCTTTGTTATATAAGCGATGGTGATGCATTCAAGGATTAGTAATATTGTAGTAAAGATGAACTCACCCACACAAAGACTCGGACACAGACAGCATGATGGAGCAGATACAGTCGGCAGGTTGATCCGAGTTAAATTGAGTCTCTCTGGTTATCCGGGTTTCCTGATGGAGCCACCGGTTTTTAGGTTTAGGTTGACTCCTTTACCACGCGGCAGACACATCCCATTTACGTCACAGCCCAACAGAGGCTCTGATTGGTCGAGATGCAGGCGTTGTTCCAATGCGCAGCTGATGCGCTCGGAACTGTACACCATGTAATGATGCGTTCAGGAGTTCCCACCAAAACAAGAGGGACGGTTATGTCTAGAAAGGAAATGATGACAAATTAACACGAGGGATAGAGCACATTTTAAACACATCAAACAGGTTGAAGTGATGGTTACAAATATAACCAATTCAAAACTGAAATAAATTAAGAAGAAAAACCGCAAAGAAAAACAAATAAGATAAAAGTCAGGATATGTTATAACTAAATTAAAATATTAAATTAAAAGAAATACAGTTAAATGAAATTTGTCCATAAAGTTACAAGTTACTATATTTATTTACAATTTAAAGATACTTAGATCAATAGCGTATAAAGACAATACGATATTTCTAAGTTGCTGATGTTTTGATATTGTATAAAACATTTTCAGATACTTTGAAGCTTATATGAAACAGGTTTGTCCTCCATGTTAAGAGGAGATTGGCTTAAGTGCAAATCGTCATGATTACAATAACGCAAATATAGCTTATATAAAACAATAAAATGCCAAAACACACATAAGCTAAAACATATCGAGTTGTTGTTACTGTACAGTTCTAAAATCAGACACTTCAGTAACATCAATTGTTATGTCTCCCCTTTTACTCTGTTTATTTCGTTATTCAGCCTACGTGGCCGCTGAACTGCATTAACTGTATAATTTCCTACAGTACTTGAAAGCCTCATGCCGCTTCTTCTTTACACTCACAACGTGGTCGTGTTGCCTCTGATGCTGATGCAATCTCCCAGTAGGAGACAAAAAAAAGGAAGCAATTAAATTAGTTTCAACCTCAAATCTGGTGATTCACTGCTCACTCGCTTTCTAATAATAACATATGAATACATATTTCTTAGAAAGCTGTGTACAGATGTGATTTGTTATTGAAAGTAAGGGAACATGTAAAACCCCCTACTATATCCAAGCAAGTAAACAGTGCATTTCAGAAGATATTTTGAACAATGTTAGTTTGAAAATTATGAATTTACTAATAAATGAATCTCTTTCCACTTTCAATGAAACAAATGTCTAATTTGGATTGAAATTACCTTGAGTGATTACAAAAAGAATACTTCTGGTATATTTTAAGTACACATTATTAACACATTTTTACAAGTGACGTTTTCGATGTAGGACTTTTGATACTTAGTTTTTTGTTTTCAATAATTCTTCCACCACTTCAGACAAGCACATGATTAGCACTACACAGAGGAATGTCCCATTAAACACACGAGTGGCAACAGAGAAGTCCTTCTAGATATTAACCCAATAACACTTACATTAGACATTCAAGTGCTGGGTGGAAACAAAGAAAGCACAAACAAGATTGTTTTACAAAATAATTATAATGTACTGTAAGAGGCAGTTAAAAACTGGGGGAAAAAGTAAATTCATCCTTAACTGATTATTTTAAAAGGACAGTATGGCTGAAAAGCTAAAATGGTGAGAAAATGTGATGGTTTCATTCAAAGTAAAACCTTTTTGCTCCCTTGGGACGGTGGAAGTGCTCCACCAATTTGTAGTCATCCTCTCAGGTGATGACATTTACTCACAGTGGAGGTTTGACATATTGGATATTGGGTATGTACATTACATTAGTACATTTTAGCCTGATTGTAGTGCTACACAAATAAACATGGCAAGGACTACACACATCACAATTTATCCTTTTGAGATCATCTATGTTCATAACACTCGCCATGGCAAATTTGACATCATTGTAGTGCCAACAAAAGACTGAAATTAAATCATCAACCATACTGAATTAAATGCCAATATGTATTGAGACGTCTTGCTCTACTCAAAGTGTGGACATTAAGACAGATTGAGTAATAGATGGATAGAAGGACAGAGTGTTTCTGTGTGCATGGTATCAGTATTCAAAGTAATAGTCATCAGATCATTTAGAGTAAAATTAACAATGCCATCATGTAAAAGTAACCCAAGAGGAAGTTTTGTATTTACAATGGTGCTTAAGTAAAGCTGCAGATGTATTGGCACCAAATCATTCTAAAAAATAAACCTTGTCATACAGAATGTTCTTGATATGGGTGCAGTTGTATTTTATATTATGAATCATTATATTCACTTAATGTATGTAGTTGTTTGACTGTTAAAGGCTTTAAATATATTGAAATTATATTAAAATACAGTACTTAAACAAATGTTCTGGCTTGTTTTTCTACCGCTGGAATGTCTGTGTGTGTGTGTGTGTGTGTGTGTGTGTGTGTGTGTGTGTGTGTGTGTGTGTGTGTGTGTGTGTGTGTGTGTGTGTGTGTGTGAGTGTGTGTGTGTGTGTGTGTGTTTTTTGTTTAAAGTAACTGCTGTGATAGCCGCACAGAGCAGCCAGTGTTCTGTTACAAAATGTTATGTAACTGCTGATTAGTATTCACACACTTCTCTGCCTTTACACGGAGCGCCGGCATAAACCTGCTGCCCTCAGCCTGCAAACAAATTAGAGAGGAAGAAATGTGAATTGAGTAAACAAAAAAAAATAACCCAGAGCCCATACAAACTTTTATGTCTTTGCAGATTGACAGATTGTCAATCTGCAAAGATTGACAATCTGTGGTGGAAAGCTATTTTGGCCTTCAGGAAAAAGTTTGTTTTGGCCAACTGTCCGTAGCAAAACGTTATTGACTTACTTTAATTTGACTAGTTAGTACTGCACACTATACCACAGTTGTTCTCAGTGCATCTGATATCTGTGGACTTATTCAAACACTGCAGGCAAACCTTGTAACCTTTCTTTTTATCTGCAAGTTTAATGTTTCTCCTGCACAACACTGCTCTGTGATGAGGTACTATCAAACCAAATCATGCAGATCTAAATACAATCACATCAAAAGGCAGGATTACATTTTTTTACCTGCAGTTTCTAAGCTGTAAACTGACCTAGAAGCTGTCTTCATGACTTGTTTCTGTGTAGGTGTGCACACAGACACAATGCTTATTGAGTTATGGTATTTAACTTTATTGTCAGGAAACAAACTAGGTCATCTTTTTGTGTTGCACCACCTGATCCTCTGATCACAGGCACATGCAGTGAGCTTTTTAACCTATTCTTTTTAGCATTGTGGCTCAAGCTATGGACATGGGTTGGTTTGCGACCTGTCTGTCCATTACTACAGATTGACATATCATAACTATTGATACAAATATTGGATGGATTACAACAAAATTAGTAACAGACTTCCTTGGTGTCCATAGAATAAATCACAATGACACGTTAGCCTCAGCTTTAGCTTCTAGTTAGCCATTACCATCCCTTTCTAACAATGTGAATTTAAGCATTGTATGATATTTAATGTACATTATGATATTCAAGGAATCTAAGTGAGAACTTAAACATTTGTACTTTTTAGTTTCCTCAGCACCTGCCTCAAAACACTGTACATATATGACAGGGGCTGAAGTTTAAAAGGTTGTATGAATGTCCCTCAGTCTTCCAGAGGTTAATGTGAAATACTCTGAATCGTAAAATGATGCCAGCTGTGCTTCTCTGCTGCCTTTAAACTCACGTCAACAAGTGGCATCCTCACCAGTATCGCCCCGAGCCTCTACAACAGGAACCAGCTCTCTGCAGGTGGAGAAAGTTCCTGAATGTGCTGCAGGGAATCTGAGAGCACCTCTGAGTTCTGTTAAACATGAGACCATCCCTGAGGTTGTGACATGTTACAGCAAGAGGTGAAAAGACATACCTGGTTAGTAGTTTAATTAATTTCAGAACAGACATTTGTATTCACACATTCATGTTTTGCAGCAGTGGATATCAGAATCAGAATCAGAATCAGAATACAAGGTCAAGGGTCAAGGTTATTTATTTGTCAAACGAACATAGCTACAGTGTAGTTATGTCGATGAAAATCTCGTGTCAGAAGCTTCTCCAACAGTGCAACACAAAACACAGATAAACAGAAAAAATATAGTGCAAGTAAATAGTAAATACAAGAATAAAAATTGTTTAAAGTGGACCTATCATGCTATATTTGAATAATATAGTGTAGGACCATACCTATATAAGGCATATTTATACTTTTTTTTTTTCAAAATACCAAACAGATCATGCATTTTAGCCATGCCTCATTTTGCTCAATTTGCACTTTTTTATCCCTGTTTTTGCAAGGGCTGATTCTGTGAGAACAGCACCATGTACAGGCCTGGCATATGTACTACAGCGTCTCCAGCGCTTTCGAACGGCAATGGCCGTGGCTGTCTCCTCCTGATTGGTGGAGTTGGCCCAATAGCCGTAGCGACACCGTCCTGACGTCAGGACAGTGTTCAAATCTGGATCAGTTTTTATCAGATCCGTTGCAGCCCCTTTTTTAGAGATTTGGGTATGGAGGAAAATAGAGAGGGTTGTGTTTTCTGACACTTGGTGAGTTCCCTGGAACACCGGGGACACATATTCATGTATAAAAGACGTACAAAAGTGCATTTTGCATGATCGGTCCCCTTTAAAAAAGTGAAATAGTGAAATAGTGCAATAAGAGTCTATATGCAAGTCATTGAAATATGACATATTAGGTAAATAGATAAATAATTTTTAAGTAGCAGCCAGATGAATATTGTGGATGTTGTTTCAACAGTTCAGGTGTTTAACAGATGTTGTTTCCACAGTGCAGGTGTTTAACAGTCTTATGGCCTGTGGGATGAAGCTGTCCCTGAGTCTGGTGGTTTTAGTCCGGATGCTGCGGTACCGCCTGCCAGATGGCAGTGGGCAGAACAGTTTGTGGCTGGGGTGATGGGGGTCTTTTATAATCCGGAGGGATTTCTTCCTGAGCCGCTGGGAGTAAAGGTCCTCCATGGATGGCAGATATGTCCTGGTGATGTTCTGTGCAGTTTTCTCCACTCTCTGTAAAGCCTTACGATTGAGGGCGGTGCAGCTGCCGTACCAGGCCGTGATGCAGCCCGTCAGGATGCTCTCTATGGTGCACCTGTAGAAGTTGCAGAGTATCCTGGAGTCCATGTTGAATACCTTTATTAGTCCACATTTAGGGGACATTTACGTTGTTACAGCGGAAAAAGAGCCACAGACAGCTTAATGTTACATATGTTACATGCATTAAAAAGTATTAAAGTAAAAAAAAAATTATGATATAATAAAAAATATAATAAAAATACAAAGTTACACAATTTACAAAATACACATCCTGTAACAGTTCTGAGGATTTAGCAGCCAGGTATATATTGTAGAGTTATTAACGGCATATATATATATGGCACATATAGCACATAGTTGCACATAATTTTGCACTCCCATTTTGCACTCCCTTTTTGCACTATACACATTATCTTTTTTTGTATATATCCTGCTTACTTAAACGGTTATTTTGTGTTTTTTTTGTAATTTTTTTAGTGTTCTTGCATTTTAATGTGTGCGTTTGTTATACCTCGGGACTGTGGGATGTGTATTTCGATCTTTCTGTGTGTACAAACATATTTTGAGATTGACAATAAAGTTGACTGACTTGAATTGACTGTTGGTTGGTATTTAACAGCAAGGGGTGTTATAGTCTGTGTTGTTGTGCTGGTTGTATAGTCTGACCGCTGCAGGAAGGAAGGACCTGCGGTATCTCTCCGTGAGACTGTCTGCCGCATTCCTAGTTGTTTTTAAAGATAAGTGACACCATCTATAATGCTGTGATGTGACGTTGCTGTTCAGTTCAGTCTGTCTCTATAAAACTGGGCCCATATAAACCCTGTTTATTGGGCTCATCACTCAATCGTCTTCTTCGACAGAATCATTGCACCGTGTTTCTGTCTGTGACCTTTCAGTCTATCAATAACCTTTCAAAGGAGGAAGTAACAGACTGTAAATCTGAGGTGAGCTGTGGTGCTTTCTGTCATCAGTGAAAAGCAAAAATCTGCTTAATCATTAACAAAATTCAGATTTGATTTGATCTTAAAGATTACCTTTCTTTATTTACTTAACATGCCTCTTGGGATCATTCATTTAAGACTGAGAGTAAAAATAAAGAGGGAAAAGCACATTGTGGACCGTTAAAGTTTAGATTGTTTCATTACATAAGCATTTTAATTGTTTCTGGATCCTTACAGAATTGCAAAACTAGACAAAATACAAAATTTAAAATGCAAATATCACAAACATCATCTGTTATATACTATAATATTTCAGTACAAATAAGGAAATACACGTAGGATCTTATTCTATTTTACAGTATATGTACAAATGTTTCTTATTCCTGCACCACCGGGCGCCGTACATAATGGCCGCCCACTGCTCCTACTAGGATGGGTCAAATGCAGAGAAACCGTTTCGTTACATAGTACCTGTACTACGTAATGACAATAAGTTGAATCTTCTTCTTCAACCTTACCTGAAACATTTGTCTATTAAACTATTTGATGTATTTCTGTTTTATGTTATCTATTGTATGTTGCGTTGTTGGAAGAGCCTGGGACTTATGTTTACTTTTATAACAACTTGTCTTCATACGCACTTGCAAAGCTTTTTTCAAGATTTCTATTTTTTATTTTGACTACAAATCTGACCAAATAGTTTTGCTTATCTTTCAGGTGAGAAGACTGAAGCTTTCACACGGGAAATAACAGCCGTCCTGAGAATGTGACACGCACACACACACACACACACACACACACACACACACACACACACACACACACACACACACACACACACACACACACACACACACACACACACACACACACACACACACACACACACACACACACACACACACACACACACACACACACACACACACACACACACACACACACACACACACACACAGCTTGTGCAGAATGTAGCCTGATTACTTGTCAGACAGCTCCCTATGCTCGATGGTATCACAATATGTTAAATACTTTAATTAAAAATCTTTAAAGATTAGTCTTGTCTTTGTCTTGATCTTTACCCCCATAAAATACATTTTAATATCTTATCTAGCTTTCCTTTTACAATGCTATGTTCATTGTATTGTTGTATTGACACTATATTGTAAACTTAAGCATCTTATATTTCAACTTGCACGAAAGGCACTATACAAATGATAAATGAGGTGTATAAATACTCACAGAGGAAGTGCTTCTGCAATTGAAAGAATATTTGTATCTGCTGCCTCCTGCTGGCTGACCCGAACAAGTGCAGCAGACCCAGTCTCACAAAAAAACGTGAAATACCTATGTTAGTCCACAGGGCAAAACGTAGTATATTCACAAATATAACCCACTCAAGACGTGACTTTACATACGCATTTGAATTGTTTCTGGTCCTTACATAATTGCAAAACAAGACAAAATAAACTATTTGAAATGCAATTATAATTGTTGTCATATGTTATGTAATATATAATTGTACAATACAAATTGGGAATTACATGTAGGATCTTATTCTAACTTATATTTACATTATGTTTCTTATTCCTGCACCTCACTTGCATCATTTGTCTATTTTACAATTGTATGTATTTCATTTGTATGTTTTTATTGTATGTTGCATTGTATGAGGAGCCTGGGACTCAAGGCTTTTGTGCATATGACAAATAAAACCTTAGAATTTTGTACTTAAAAAATGTACTTATGTGAGCTTGCACTCGTTATATGCATCTGCAAAGCTCTTTTGGAGCAGTCATTTATTTTCCACCACACATCTGACCAAATAATTTTGCTTTAACACACACACACACACGCACGCACGCACGCACGCACGCACGCACGCACGCACGCACGCACGCACGCACGCACGCACGCACACACACACACACACACACACACACACACACACACACACACACACACACACACACACACACACACACACACACATTGAGGTTTGAAAAGGCCCCACTTCTCATCTAGGGATCACACTAAAGTCATGCTCATGTCTCATGCTGACCACAATGTGACTGACTCACTTTGACACCTCTACACTTTGAACATGAGGGACTTGTTTTTGAGTAGAGAACATGTATTGACATGTGCACAGGAAGATATAAATCACGTCTCTCCCTCTCCTCACAGTGAGCTCTGTCTCTGATAGCTCTCCCTCCTGTAGCTTCACTGTGACCTGCAGCTCACAGGACTCTCACATCAACAGCACGTTCACATGTGAAACCAGAACCTGCAGTCAGGAGGGAGGAGAGCGGTCAGAGGGGATCCCTGATACTTTTCTCCAGGTCTACCAATCAAGTGGATCGATCATCTGTAACCATAGCAACTATGTCAGCTGGACCAACGACACCAAAACAATCAAAGATGTCTGCCCCCAGCAAGATCTAATTAAAACAAGTCAAAGTATAGTCTGCCATAATATATCATTGTAAAGTGTGTCATTAAGAAGTCCTGTTAATTGTCATAACAAAAAGTCCTGTTATTATCATCTGCCATAAAATGTCCTGGTGTTGTGGGCCATAAAAAGTGCAATGGTATAAAATCATAAAATAAGTCACAGTTAAATATGTCGTAAAGAATGTCACTGAAAAGTCATAGTAGAGTATTTTATGAGAAAACAACAACAAAAAGCCCTGGCCTGTATAAGGAACATGAGACTGGCCTTCCTTATTTTATGGTTAGTTATTTGTTTTGCCAGTGCAGAATATGTGCTGTGTGAAGATATCTCTGACATGTTACCGCAGGTATCTTTAGTTTGGTATGCAGTCATGGGAAAATGCAAAAGGTGAGAAACACAGAGCTCTGAGAAAGGAAGTGGTTATGATTGTTTGTGCAGGACACCAGCTAGAAGAGTTAAAGTAAAGCAATGTTTTCTTTTCCATCTTTTGCTTCATCTGGTGCAACATACACCAACTGAAATGTAAAGTTCCTTGTTAATCATCCTGTAATTGACTTTCACATTAAAATCTGCTTTCATGACAAACGTTTGAATTAAAAAAAGGTATAAAAGCCAAAAGGTTATGTGGTTGTTACAGGAAAAGGACTTGGTGGTGTGTTAGATCAAAACAGGACACACACCATAACCTGTGACATTGTGTATTCAGGCAGGGCAACCGAGCAGAGACTGTCATGTTCATCTCCGTGATTCTGGGGCTGCTGGTCTGCACTGAGGCACAAGGTAAAAACCTGTCTGATCAAATGTTAACAGATGCAGCAATAGACGTCTTTAGTGTGATTAATGCAAGTAGTACCATACAGTTATTTCAGATTTCTATCTTGCGATAAGTGATACATATGTCAGTGAGAAATAGCCTTCCTTTGTTCTAGTAATCTATCAACTAACCATAACTCCATGAATTGGGACGAATAAAAGCCACAGTTAAGCAATCATATTTCAATTAAATTAATCTACTTTGTAAAGAAGATACACAAGTAAACATAAACAGTTTTACACTTAAAACGGTTTTATTACAAAAATGAAAAATAACCAGCATCCCTGTGATCTTAGTTTTGTAAAGTTAGTTAATGTGTAGTAAAAAAAAATAATTGTTTGCATTAATTCATCTTCCAATTCTTCAAAAATAGCCTTTTTTAGGCGAAATTATGAAGCAAACTAAAGAATTGTTCGCAATTCTAAGAATTAAAAGCCAATACTTTTCAATAAAACAATTTAAAAATGAGCTTGAAGAAAAATAAAATATTTTCAGGAAATAACCATCGAACTGAACTAGGCGTTTTTATAATGTGAATTATTTTGAGCTTTATTGGTGTGTGGGTGAGACTCGGGAAATGAAGGACGTGGAAGAAAGTACCATGTTTTCAGAGGAGACAGTGTAAAAACTTGAAAATATATACATTTTTCGGTGATATCCTCGGGGCTGAGTTTCCAGATACCAGGACACATTGTGTCAAGAGTTATTAGTAACTAAGCAGGAGAAGAATGGTCAAATATGTTTATTATTACATGTCTGTTTACTTACAGAAGAGTTTTGACCATATTAAAGGTAAGGAGAGACAAGTGGGCAAAAAATAAATGTTCTTCACTTATTAAACTATGATGGCTATGACTATTACGGTCACTGGGTTGAATGTTAAGTTAGTATTTGATTATAATCATATATTTGTCATAAACAATATACGCAAATATAGTAACATTCAGAATTGTTACAAGTGTCTAAACACATACAGTATATTGTATGTGATATTTACTGTATGATGTGTCTACTGTTTTACAGGGATCAGGTCTGGGACTGTGTTTGTGCTGAAGGGAGAGGATGTGCTTCTGAATGTCACCAAAGCTGATGTTCTTCAGGATGTTTTTAGTTTTTCATGGACATTTAATAAAAAAAAAAAAGTATTAACAGTTAACCCTGGCAACAATCCAATAGTATTTCCTGATTATGCTGGAAGGATTGAGTTTCTTGTGAACAATTTCTCTGTGAAATTGAAGAATCTCAAAGAGGCAGACAGTGGAGTTTATACTGCTGTAGTGGCAAAGCTTTCAGGAGACGTAACAGAAGCAGCTAAATACAAGATTAAAGTTCAAGGTAGGTTTGTTAACCTCTCAAACACTGATAGAGTTTCTGTGGTCTTGTTTCTAAACTCTTCACCTGCTTCTTCCCTCCTCAGATCGAGTGTCTCTCCCTCTCCTCACAGTGAGCTCTGTCTCTGATAACTCTTCCTCCTGTAGCTTCACTGTGACCTGCAGCTCACAGGACTCTCACATCAACAGCACTTTCACATGTGACACCAGAACCTGCAGTCAGGAGGGAGGAGAGCGGTCAGAGGGGATCCCTGATACTTTTCTCCAGGTCGACCAATCAAGTGGCTCGATCATCTGTAACCATAGCAACCATGTCAGCTGGACCAACGACACCAAAACAATCAAAGATGTCTGCCCCAAACATTTTGGTAAGACTGAAAGAGAAACTACTTCCTGATAATAACACACAGTTTGGAATTTAAAGTTTAACAAAACTTATTTGCGAATTAATAACCCACTCTGTCAGGCTGCAGGTATTAAATGTGAACTTAAAACTACAACAATTCAATTTGAAGAAACTTTAAAATACAAGATGAATTCAGATCATGTTTTACGCATATAATGTGCTGTTTGTCTCATATACAGAACCGATGTAGAACCTTTATATAAACCTTTCAACTTGAATATTTGTACAAGTACAACAATATCTGCATATTTGAGGAACAGAATCAACATTAAATCAACATTAAACCGCAAAATGCCGTTTTACAATGCATGATGCATATCGACAGTCTGTAGAACTCAACTGCACTTTGCAGTGCAAGTATTTCACAAGTATTTTACAATGTAGGACTCAAAGTACTTGCAAACTGTAAAGTAGTCAAACTGCTATCAAAAATAAGGAATAATACCTGATTTGCTGCTTCCACTCAGTTGTGCGTCTCAGTCTGGATCTCTGTGTCGGTTTTGATATGAAACTCTCTGTTTGTTGTGTTTCAGATCCAGAGGGGTTATCTGTGTGCCTGGTGAAGACGTGTGTGTTCTCTGTGGGTCTGATCATCATGGTGTCTGCTGTCATCACGGTTCATCTCATGGAGAAGCTCAACAAGAACAAATAAACTCATAGTTCTGGTTCCCAACCGGGGACACGGAGACCCCTAGGGGTAGTTGGGGGGATTGCAGGGGGTACGTAGAAAGATTAGGGGTTGCAAATTATTTCCAAACGAAACATTTTCAAATCAATTTTGCCACACACCATAAACCACACACCAAGAAATGTAGAAGTTCAACAACAAAAGTGTGCGGCCTCAAGGCTAGAAGTAGCAAACATGAATATAAATATTCTCACTTACAATGTATCTACATGACAATTCATATTGGCTAAATCTTGATGCTTTGCAAGGAAAACACAGAAGGCAGCTTTCAAGAAAATGCTGAATGTTCTTGTTAATCCAATGATTATATCAAGTAATCTGTTTGTAGGTAAAATCATTGTGTTGCCTTCAGATTACGGAGGTTTTCAAAAAAACACAAATAACATTTTTATTTGTTTTATGCTTGTTTACTGTACATTTTTTTGAATTAAAGCATTTTCTTCTACATGCAACATCTAGTAAAGCTTTTTTGTTCCTATATGTTTCATTATCTATTATGTGTTAATGCAAATTAACAAATTACATACATACATTACATTACATATGTTTGTGATTTTTTTGGATTCTACTAAAGACTAAAGATCATGTGAGGCTATTTGTTTGTTCCACCTAGCTTAATTTTGACAATGTGTTCCATTACATTTACTAATGACCTAACCATCAGTAACCTGTAAGTATCTGATATTCATATAACCTAAACAAATTACTTTCTATTACTTTTGGGACAAATCAATATCAATGCAATGCAAATAAATACAATAAGGCTTTAAAGCTCCCATGTCATGCTTTTCCGGTTATTACCCGTCCCCTTGTGTGTTATGAAGGTTTTTATGCATGTAAACGGTGTGCAGAGTCAAAACCCTCAAAGTACACCCTGTAGCGAGTAAAACTCTAACACAGAAAATACCTCCCCAAAACGCCTCGTTGGAGATACGTCACTGCCCATTTGAGTCTTCCATTTAGTTCCGGGTACCGCCTGATGTCATGCGGTACCCGGAACGAAATGGACCAATCCCGAAGAGCTATGGCCACACCAGCAGCGGCGTGTTCCTCCTCCAGAGGTTCGAAGAACCGGCATTTCACAGACGAAAGCTTCCAAAACATTGCCCAGTTTGAGGCCGGATATGCACAGCTTGTTTGGACCGTTTGGAGCAGGGGAAGATCTGGGTATACAACCTGTAAGTTTGCATTGTTATTTGTGTATTTATCAAACAAGACTGTTTAAATGTGTAAACTGTGTTGGACTGCTAAGCCATTGACACAGTGCTAACTGTGCTAACTAAGTTGCTAGAGTTTCCATATATCAACTCTAATATCAGCAGATGGCCTTGCATACATGTATCTCATAGCAGGAGAATGTCTGCATTCACACACAAAATACCTATTGACAGTATACTGCGGGTGATTTGCCGGTCAGTCGCGAAACGTAATTACATTATAGCTGGCGTAGCGATCTAACACACGGAGCTTGAGCTAGTTTTGGTCAGAAAAACATTTTTGTGATGCTACGTTGCTAGCGTTTAAATATATCAACTACAATGTCAGCAGATGGCCTTACATGTTTGTCATGGCAGGAGAATGTCTGCAGTCACACACACGGAATACTCATACAGTATACTCCGGTTTACCGTACATTGTGACCGTACATATACTGCATGTAGCTAACGAGGCTAGCTGTATGCTAGCGCAAAACAATGTATTCATGCAAGTTACATTGTATGGTAGCAGAATACCCGTATACGATTGCAATTATAAACACGTTATTGCTAGCCTAATATGAACCACTAGCTTTTGTTCATAGTAGTTTTATTACACTGCATTATAGTTGCCTTTCCTCCAAGCTAACGTTCATATCGTGTTAGCTACCAAGGTAAACAAAGCTAGGTTAGCATATTAGCAGGCAAGCTGTTCATTACACAACTACTACTAACGAATCTAAAACAACTAAGTTTCTCTAATATTTTGTGATTTGCATTTGATTTCGTCCAGCCAGATCCTGGCGGACAATCCATGACGGGGAAGGGATTCTACTGAGGGTGCTAAAAGGCACCGCACCGCACCGGCTGTGCGCAGGCAAGAGGAGGAGGAATGGATGATATACCGTGTATATATGTATATTTATGTTCATTTTGTACATTTCTAAAAATAAAGTTTAATGGAAATACTTAGTAGGCCTATCCTTTCTTCCCTGAATTCATATATAGCAAACCATGATTTGATTTCTCATCAAACAGTAGTAGTTTATAACGGGTAAAAATAACTTACTCTTTGTTATGAGAGTAGCTCGTAGGCCACAACGGAAAGACAAGGAGACATACACGAGTTTACAAAACCACGGCACATTTATTGTGGTAAATGCAAAGATAGGTGGTTGAGAGGATCGCCGAGTTAGTCTTCCTGCAGCCGCTTTGGAGAGAGACTGGGGCCGTAGTGTCCGGAGGTGTCCGTGATCGTGCTGATTACCCTCTTCAGCTCCACCCCATCGTAAGACAAAGGCCCTGGGGCCGTCACACTCTTCTATAACAACAGTTAAAAATATATATGTATATAAAATATACCGCTGTACCGACGCCATGATAAGACTGATGTTACGCTGAGAGCAGCCGGGAAAAGCACTGACATGGGCGCAGCCTCTCTGGTGGTTGACTAATCAGAACGAGTGGCCGAGCTGACCAATCGGAGCACACTAGGCTCACAGGGAGGGGGGGGCAAGAGCTCCAACGAGTCGTTTAGTGGAGAAAGTGAATACTGCTGAATACACATGCTTGACAGAGATGCTGTATGCGAAACCAATGTGAGTTTGGAAAATTGCACAGTATAAATCTATTTTAGTATACCTCAACAATGTAATTATGATCAGTGGAAATGGCCATGACATGGGCCCTTTAATAAAACCTTCGAAAAAGATAAACAAAAATAAGTTTGTTTAGTTTCAACAATGGGTCCGCTGCTCTTTTTACAACCAACATAATATGCTTTTTTAAAGTTCACTGCAGTATATTAATTAAGAGCTTTCACAGTATTTGTAACAAATCACCTGTCCACCCACTGAGCTGTCAATTAATACATGAAATACACTCACATTATATGACATACTTACATCACATTTATCAAGAAGCGTCTTACAGTAAGTGCCTCAGACCATGAAGAAACTACCTCAAAAAGAAAGAGTCCTGCAGGTACAGTCACTTAGCAAAATCAATGTTGGTGCAACTGCATTGGCGACTGCATAAAAGAATACACTGGATTTAAAAGTACATTTATTTTAAAAAGAAGAAGAGTGAAAGTGTCCTAAATTAATCTAAGCACGGCTACCTATATGAAGTGGACCACAGAAAACCATCATTTACAAATCATTAACCTGCAAATTCTTTTTTGAATTAAATGTTGACTTCTTGGAAAATGATTATATATTAACAGCTGGAAGGCAAAGATTTCAATGGCGGTAATGTTGTTTCACATGTTCTCCTCTCAACACAAAATGCTGGAGAATTTTCCATTAAATTCATGACTTCTTTAAACTACAGGCAACAATGATGTACAGGAAGATTAGCTTTGGCTTCACTCGAGACTCGGTGTTGTGAGACTCTTGAAGTGATGTACAGTATTGTGTGAGAATGAGCGTCATAATATATACTTCTTTACTTGAAAATGTATTGTAACATTGTAATCATTCTTATAATCCCCCCTTTTTGTTGTTATGTAGCAGTAACAACGTATTTCTTTAACTCTAAGGGTAAAAACTGTAAAATCTTGTGCACACAATAACATTAATTTCACTACATGTGTTACGTCCCCACTAGGGGATGAGGAAATGCAACACACACCATTGGAATTGGTAATCATTATAATGAGTTTATTAAATAATGTGTAACAAAAATGGCAGGCAGGCAGGCAGCAGCCTGGAACAAACTAAAAGGCCAAAAGGGCGCAGGGTTAAATGAGGAATCAACAAAGGGAGGACTCTAATAAAGGAGCCTAATTAAATACAAAGAAATAGATACTACTAAACAAAAGCAACAAAAGAACCCTCACTGTCAAAGTGGTACAAGCTAACCAAAAGAGACTGTTAGAAAACACAGCTATAGGGGACAACAGTCAACGTAATGCTAAACTAATCTAGACACAATACTAGTACGGAATACACACCAGTTAACCACAGTTAACAGATTTGTCTACAAAGAGCACGTAGCGAGAGGCGTCTGTTCACACAGCAGAGCCTCCCGACTGATCGTTGTCCAGCGGCTTTGTCGTCCCTCCGGAAGGTGTGCGCT